CACACACACACACACACACACACACACACACACACACACACACACACCTCACAGGGAAGCCCTGATTAAGTCAGAGCAGCCTCCTTTCCTAAAATGGAGTGTTGCGTCAGCGCCGAGCTGAGAGGATCTTTAATAACGGAGGAGGATAGCCTCAGGGGAAACACCCCCGGAGAGAGGGCTCACGTGATCGGGGTACCCAGACCGCTATCCGTCGAACACACAGCCAATGCTACTGTACACACAGCTGCTCAGGGGTTACATTAACCACCTGTGTCTGCAGATGTGTTCCAGAGAATGGCTGACAGAAGACGAATGCATCAGCACTGTGGTGGTGCGTGTTTGATGGAGGATGATCAAGTGCGTGGGTGTGTGTGTGTGTGTCTGCGCATTTACTGCAGATGAAAATTAACATATGACTAATTTTCAAAAGCAAATTTCCCACCATAAAGGTGGAACGTCAAAGTGCGACGTGGCCTCGGGCATTGCATCTGGACAGCAAAGTCAATGGAATGAACTCCTGCTTTCCATGAGAAAGGGAAGGTCAAGAACAGAGGGCTCCGTTTCTCACCGCCTCCCCAACTACACGTGCTCACACTGACAAGGACACACACACACACACACACACACGCACACCACCCTTCTCCAGCCAAGGAACTCTCTTTGATATTTTCAACTATTTGCAGACCTCAAGGTGGCAGAGGCCGAGAAATACTGACAGAAAGTTACCAGGATGTAAATATTATCAACCGCTGCATGTGCTTCCCCTCTTTTCTCCTTGACAGAGAACTGAAAGAGTGATGGGGGGTGGGGGGGGGCTAAACAAGAGTCAGAAGTCCATAGAAGTGGCAGGGCCCTCACAATTAAAACCAGGGAGGGAAACATAATGGCTTGTTTCATGTGTGACTGGTGGTTGCCATTAAAACATGGTTAAAAGAGACCTCCACAGAGACTCATGATGGATCGAACCAGACACCAGAGATATCGTCTTCAGTATTCAACGCAAGATTCTCCACTGTCAAAACCTGGAGCCTACAATATCCACAGTGCACCTCGACCACCGACACTTTGGCCAGAGATTGTGGTGCGTTCTGCTCGTAGCGGCGGCTCAGGCAGAGATGAGCAGCAGCTACAGAGGTCTGGTAACATCACTTCTTTCTAACTCTACACCTCCAGATGTTTCTACTTCTCTAACTTGTAGTCTTCAGACCCAACAGATGCTGGCTCAATCGACATCACTTGAGGACATTTAACAGACATACATGCAGTAGTAGTGTCCCAAAACCTGGAAACAGACTTTGATGTTTAAAATCTGTTCTTCTTTAAGGTTAAGGAAATATCATGGCTATGGTTAAAATAAATGAGGGTGTTTGTGATGGGACACAAACTGCATTCAGGGATATGTTGGATAAGTTACACCTCTTACTTTCTGCCTCGCTACATGAAGGGCAAACTACTTCCTGCACTGGCACTAGATGAAGGTAATTCCTCAGGATACTGGGCTTCTTTAGACAGCTGGTTGGACAAAACAAGTCACTTCAACCTGGGGCTCTAGATGGATGTGATGGAAATATAGAAGTTTCCCTCACATTTTACAGACATTTTTTTGACATTGAAAAACACATCAGCTGCGACATAACCTACAGAACGCATCTGCTTTCACTTTACAGCCCATACGTACTGCTTCAATGTCCTTCTTTTCACACGTCCACCAGCTTCGTAATACACACAGATTCTTCCCTTTCAACAGTGGAATAAAGAATGACTCAATAACTCCACACAAGGCTACATTTTTGTGTCTCATAGAAATCACCAGAGTGAGAAAATGGTCTCTTTTAGCAAAAACACTTGCAGTCCTCCAGAGGGTGGCCGGGGCGGAAGCCACCAGGGTATGTGCTGTAAATTTAGCCTGACACGAGGAAAGGGCAGAATCTGTGTAATAAGCAGGATAAGAGAATAAGTTGAACTTTGACCAACACTCCCTCTATAGATGACAGCAGCGACCTTGGGAGGGTGAGAAAGGAGATTGACAACAGCCATTTTCCTTAATGAGCTCACAAGAGAACCGCCCCCTCCCTGTGTGGGGAGGTCAGTCGTCTCCCGCTCAAAGCAGAAAAGACAAATGTCAGTGTGATCTGCAGTGAAGCCATGTCTGCACCCTACCATGTACACAACAATTATAACAGGAGTGAATGTCAAATGTCCTTCCATCTCCTACTGCCATATAAAAATAGCCACAGATATGGGCGATGGTGAGATTCAGGACCAATCCAATGAGAAATAGTCTAGACCAAATGACAAGACATGCTTATATATAACTTTAAAGCGTTAACTTTTATTATTTCATTTAATAAAATCGCCTACAAGTGCTCTATGTCAATCCTTTAATCTGGACTGAGTGATTTCAACATTACAAACAAGAAGCCTTCAGCATCCTCACATGCTATCCTTGAGTGCCTCAAAGAGAAGTCGCTGGTTGATGATAAGATAAAAGGTCGCCATGGAAACAGGGATTTTTTTCTGAGTAGTGGCCACAATGAGCGAAAAGAGGAAGGGAATGGGAGGGATGAAAACAGAGTTGGTGCGAGACGGAGAGGGACAGCTTGGTGGAGGAAGCGAGAGTGCAATCCGCAGGATCCTAAAAAAAAAAAACGTGACGGAGACTGAATGAGAAAACTGCTGAGGCAGCCTATTGTAGCCTGTGCTCATGGGAAATCATCTGACTCCACAATCTGGGTTACCCCATATCAGGGGGAGAAAATAGGGGGACAAGAAAGGGGAGAAAGACCGAACATGTGGGGTGATTTGTACTGGAGGAAAGGAGGGAGGGGGAGAACATTTGGGTGTCCTCTTTCTTTCATCTCGTCTGTCTTACCTGGAGGAGTACAGTTCTTAGATTCTTCCTTCTCCATGTCCTCTAGGCTGCTGTTGTCCGTTTCCTGCAGTAGCCTCCTCCTCCCTCCCCATCTCTCCTGGTCGCTGCTGTGGCTGGAGACATGAAAACCTGGGGGATGTTTGTCACAGTGAAAATTCAAAACAGATTCAAGGACGTTTCAGTGCAGCTACAACATCTAGATGACGATTATATATATATATTTTACATACTTTAGACTTGACTTGACCTCTAGCTCAAAGACTTGAGACTTGACCTCTAGCTCAAAGACTTGAGACTTGACCTCTAGCTCAAAGACTTGAGACTTGACCGCTAGCTCAAAGACTTGAGACTTGACTTGGACTCTTGCTCAAAGACTTGAGACTTGACCTCTAGCTTAAAGACTTGAGACTTGACTTCTTGTTAAAAGACTTGACCTCTTGTTAAAAGACTTGACTTGGACACGAGCATAAAGACTTGTGTGTATCTCTGGAAATGAAATGAAATGTGGATTTTGCAAATGGAGTTTGAGGTAAATGTTTCCGCTAGCTCGTCCCTCCTGTTTCATTTCATGACTGAAACTTATTGGGTTGGTTTGTACACCAGAGTCACAATGTGAACGACATACAGAGCTGCAACAAATAATAAATTAAGTCTGTAAAATGTCAGCAAATAATGAAAAATCCCCATTTCTGCTTTGATTTTCAGTCTACTGTCATGACTAAGAAAACCAGCACACTTGAGAAGCTGAAAATTAGGGATGTTTGGCATTTGTGGTTGAAAAATGACAAAAAGGATAAATTGATTATAAAAATAGTAGCAAATTGGATTAGTGTTGATCGAGTAATGAATTAATCGACAAATGGTTGCAGCTCTACAAACGTTAGAGATTTCTCTCACGTCAGCTGTGGCCTGTCACCGCTCTGCACACACAGTGTACAGGAGCCTGAAAGAAGAGCTGAATCTGAGCAAGCAGTCAGTGTCCACTTCCTGTGTATACCACACACAACTTGTTCAGAGAAGATACAGATCATTACAAGTACAGTATATTTTAGGGCTGTGGTGATTCTGTTCATTATCAATGAATCGGCTGACTATTTTCTTTTCAGGTGGGAAAATGTAAAAGAAAAAACCCATCAGCAATCCTCAGAAAATCCACACATATTCAGTTTGCAATGATATCATCTTCCCATTTGATTGGACAGAATGACACCAGAGAAGGTTTGGCATTTTTGCTTGAAAAGGGAGAGAAACAATTATTAAATTACCATGTACATTTTCGATCAACTGATTAATTGTTTCAGTTCTATTGTACTCCAGCACATTTACCATATTACTTTTCCTGTCATGGACGGGCCTTGTCCTTTCTATGTGTCAGTTACATGTTGGTGTTGCTGGGATGATGCAGGTACAAAAGTGCGTGTCAAGCAATTTGTTTAATTTTTAATGTGCAGGGTTGTCTTCTCTGTCACATTAAAGTTTGATTCTTTATGTAATAGTGGGATAGGGAACGGCTGGAGGAGTGCACCACAGATGTTCCAGTTTGGTAACCCCCCCTCCCCACCCCCGATTCATACATTGAAGAAGAATTTCATGATTTTCCAAAACAAAATCCTCTTGGGGGGTGGAGCAACAGTGCACAAAGTGGGGCTCCCACTGTGGCTACATCTGCACATTCTTCAAGAAAGCAGCAACACCAATGAATTCATTTCATACTTCAGAGAGCCCAGCAGGAGCACTCTGCCCTTTCCACCCTGCCAACCGCAAGTCTGGCCTAAGCGAGGGATTCAGGTAAAATTATAAAGCCCAGTTATTCAATAGTCCTCAGGGCATGGCTGAACTTCTCACCTGGCCTCACCTTCACTACATCTCACACAGCAGCTACAGCAGAAGTGAGGTTTGCGTGCCAGCGCTTTGCTCTTCCCTCCCTCTTTCTATCTTTCGCTATCTTGCACACTGAGAGGAGGAGAGGAGAGGAGTGTGGGGATGATTAATGCACCACTGTGAGGAGGCGTTGAGTGCTCCGCTTCCAGCTCCACAACATCAAGCTCAATTTAGCAGAAATTCATTAAGCGCATCATAAATAATCAACTTTAATTGATATTCCGGCAAGCTGATTAAGAGTTAACTAGAACACAATAGGGACAAGGGAAATGCATTAAGTGCCACAGAGTCATCCCTTGTTCAACTCTGATGTTGAGCACATGCAGGGAGCAGCGCTGTTGCATTTCCATGTAACCAGGATACGCAGCGGGGAGGAAAGAAGAAAAAAAGAATGAGTCCCACTGATGATGCACAAATCATGAGTGTATGAATATTCATGCAGGCCTTCTGTCCATAGAAAGTGATAAATACATCTCAATTTAGCTGACGCTGACTCAGTAATCAAGGGGAGTTTTGGGGGCACAGTCGAAGGCGGATAAAAAGAGTGAGAGAGGATCATGCAGACATTAAGTCAAGTGGTACAGATGTCTGCTGTTAGGAAGTACAGCAGTAGTTACTCTTTATCGGGGTTTCATCTGATTGCATTTGTTTGGTAATACTAATCATGTCAGAAGAGCTTAGAAATGAAGTTGCGAGAGAGACACGTGCAGTAACCTGGAGAGGTGTATACCCTGGCGTTGACCCTGGAGTATACCCTGGGGCTAACTGGCCTGATTTCAGAGGTGTGGACATACAGGAGTCTCTGCATCCCTCAGCCCAGAACAGTGAATATATGAACTTCAGTAATAGTCTGTGGTGTACCACCTGCATGACAGTACAGACACCTTGATGCTGTGTCACCCTGTGTCACAACTGGGCCAATGGTTGTGACATATTTTAAACACAATATAAACTTCTTATGTCATAGCCTAAATATACACTACTGGTGCGTTGTACAACGGGCAGTGTGAAATGTATTTGTTGGCTGGTCTTTTGCATGTACTGTAGGTACTGTGTGCGGGTATGTGGACTGGCGACAGTCTGTGTATGTAAGGTATGTATGCAATATGTTATTTGTATTGTTTTAACAGCAGACACTGTATGTATATTTCCAAGACAAATTTCCTTTGGGACAATAAAGTCTATCTTTTCTTATCTTAAATGCTATGGAACACACACTGTTTTGGGTTATGCTAATATGCTAATGCTTGGGAACATAACTAAAGGAAGATTTGAGAAGAACTTTAGTCCCCATAAGAACAGGCTTTTACACCTTATTTTCAAATGAAACCACAAGCATACAGTTCAGTTAGATGTTGAGTTAATGTAGCACGCTGTAAGCAGGCTTCAGGAAATTACGAGTGATAAATGGCATGAAGTGAAAACAGGAAGGATGGTTTTCATCATGTAGCTGCCTAACGTTTAAGTCTCTTCACGAGCACAGTGGGAAGCTGTGTAATTTTTAAGAAAATAAAGATAGTTAGCGTTAGCCTAACTGGAGAACTGTTAAAAACACGTAGCCTACAGAAATGAAAGAAACAAGCAAACTACTGGAGGTATTCAGCTGCCCTTCTATTCACAGGAGCCGCACACGCTGCTAAATCCTCACCTGAATTTCCCGCAAAGTAGGAAAACCCCTTCACGACCAGAAGCAAGCCGCAGAACAAGCATATCTGGATTAAAACCAACTCCTTTCGTTTCTTCCGTCTCGCTTTGACCTTCCTCAGGTTCGGCATCACTTTCGTCGGCCGATTCCGGAGTTGGATACCCGGCAGAGACCTCCCCTCTACCGCTGCCTCATCCATGCGGATCGCCGAAGTAAACAAAAAACGAGCAGCCTCCTTTTCCCCCCTCGGGGAACTGCTGTATCTCCCGGGAACGGATGACGAACAGAGCAGCGGAGTGCTTTCAGAGGAGCAGGGGAACGTGGGCAGAAAAAGTTGGAAATCGGTGCCGCCGGGATGCTGCGAGCGTCTGCTGTCTGTAAGAGCCGGGTTTCGCTTCTTAAGTCATGTTGGAATGCGGCTTTGGAAGTAGTAAGGCGGGCGACTGCTGCACGAGCCCTGCGTGGACGCGTCCGTCTGCGGAGTGTCGGGGGAGAGAGACACGGCGAAGGAGCGCGAGACGGTGCGCGTGGCCATGCACGCCCACGCGCTAACTTAAGTGAAACCCAGGTCAAAAAAATCTATATATTCACATTCAGTGGAAAATAAATAAAACATTTTGTATAATGTGTGTGTTCGAATAGTTTCCACCCATATTACTTGGTAGTCATTTTTAGCATCCTTTATTTAATTCATCAATGTGCAGTCAAAATTAAGGTGGCCATCCTTAAAGCTGCACGACTAGATGCTCTGCCCACATAGGGCAATCTGGAACTACATCAGTGAGGTTGATATGGTGAACATGTTCCACATCCAGCAGACACAAATAAACAGAAGTGTGTTAGGCCATTAGACCAATGAAGTTAAGACCAACAGCAACATTTCATCTCCATATTTAGCTAAATGCTCCACTGAGCTCACCGTGTCTGTCTGCTGCTTGGTCCAGGCTACACATGTATACAGTGCACTTGGACCCTTCTTCCATTTTGAAAACAATGATGACTTATATAAGTGTGCGCACACAGTTCAGCAATGGAAGTACGGCTGAGTGAAACAGCTTGTCGAGCTACATAAGAGCATTAACCAGCAAAGATGGTAACTGTACCTAAACACACAGCCTTTCCAGAATTTAGCTAGTGTGCAGGTATCAACATGTATCTGGTGGAAAACATCAAACACCAGGACAGAGACTCAGAGGTTGGACTTTATTCACTTTTAAAATGGACAGTGGTAGTCAACATCTGTAATAGCTTGCAGCCATAGAAGGCACCGGTGTTTCTGTTTAACTAGTGACGTGTTAACTGGTGACTCTCAGCAGAATGTGTGACGACAGCTGTTGAAAACACCAACAGAACATGTAGGTGTCCTCGTAAAAGACTATGTTTATTATCTACCAACCATTAAGTTAAGTATATGTTACTGCGAGCAACCACGGACACATTCGGCTGAGAGTCACCAGTTAACACGCTCACTGCTTGAACTGAAACACCGTGTCGCCCTGAAAAGGTTGTGATCCTGACTGAATTCTGTAGAACTTGAGTCGGTTCTGACCAACCAGACATTTAGATGCTGGTAACAAGATTCTAACTCGTCCGGCTGGCTGAGACACAACAATTCTGTTGACAACATACACACAAATGTTTTTGATCTGTAAAAAGGGTCTATACAGCAGTGATACAGCCCAGTGGTTATGATAGATGCCCAATGGGAAAAGGCATCGATTGACCAGATTATGAGGATTTCTGCCACAGAAGGAAGGAAACCTTTCCCTTCCAAATAAGGCTTCCATGAATGAATGAGTGAAGCAATGTCAGTTTATTTTAAATGCAGGTACAATTTACTGCATATAGTTATTTATACTTGTACATGTTTGGCAGTTTTTCATTGAGCCTATAAACAACATTCACAATCAGGTAAGTTCAGGTACAAAACCAAACTTCTGGCCTCCTCTGGGACTGTCTAATTGATGAAGGAGATGACGTAAAGGTTTGTTCATGTAGCTGTATCGGCTGTCTTATAACAACACCAGCAATAATAATGTTATCATTCTAAAATATATAAGTATTCCAGCCAAAAGTCAGTAACCACTGCTTCTGTTTCTCTTCAGCTAATCTGTCCTGAGAGAGTCTTCCTCTTATTTTAGCCCAAATGTCTGTAGTATCTACACAATGCTAGTTAGGTCATATGGATTGATTTCTCTTGTGGCTCCTTGTACATGTTGGGATTTCACGGTGCGTCTGCCATGTGTGATAGTGAAAGAGAACTTTAGGACGGTGGATCAAACTTTATTCAGGCCAAATGGGTTTGTTGATTGTCGGGCCTGAGGTTTCATATAAATAGCACTGGAAACGTTCCAGCAAGAATGGAAAAAGTGGTCAGGGCTCTAGGCAACATGGTTTCTTTGTGTTTTAACCCTTCGGAGCATGGAGCTTAGACCGATAGAATAAATGACAAGAAAGAGGAAGGGAAAGCAAGAGTTACCCAACATGTTTTAAGATAAATAATCCACATGTATGTGTCCAAATACAGTTAGTTTCCAATTAAGATAAACACACTATGAGCATCCCTCATGGCAACCCCTCCCCGTGATTGGTGATCTTAAAGCTGCCATGAAACCTGGCCTGTCCGAGTTGCAAAGGGAGCTCAGACTGGGCATGGAGTTACCAAGCGAGATGAATTCCCAACCTCTCAGAGGCACACAAAGTAGGAGGAAGGAGGGAAGAGGAAGGGGGGGGGGCAACAAATTAAATCCAGTTAAATTGTTTTTCCATAGCCAGTGGGCTTGGCAAAGGACTCTCACACACGCACAAGATGTAAGATAAGTTGGAGAGAAGACAAACCAGAAACAGTGTGGCTTCAGATGGAAGAGAATGCCTGGAATTTAACCCACTTTCCCATGTCTGACTGCCCCGCCCCGCGGCTCAGGGCGTCCACCCAGCACACAAACACAGGTGACTGCAGAGACAAACCTTGAACATCTGCTCTGCTCACACGCCCCTGTTCTCACCCCGTTACAGCCGCTACCTCAGATGTGGTACAGTACATCGATAATCCGAGGCCCTCACAGTCTACTTCCTCCTCTGTGCTGTTAAGCCTGTCTGGCATTGGGATCACAATGCAGTCATTGCAGAGCACAAGCTGCAGTTCTAGCCAACTTTGAAGCAGCACTAAGGCTAGCAGAGAGCAGACATATTTGGGTCATGTCCACCATGCAGCAGCTCCTCTCCGCCACAACACGGAGAGACCTCAGCTCAGCACCACTGGAGGGACAGAGAAAAAGGGTGTGCAGGGATACGGCATGGTCGGCCAGGAATAGCTCACTGAACTAAAATAACAATAAAAAGTTGGGACAGAATAGACGGGCCAGGTGGTGGTGCTGAAAGGAGAAACAAGGACAAGCATCTCTGCTCTTGCATCACACAAAGCAGAGTGGAATAAAGCAAAGCACAGCATGGATCACTAATGACATCTTTGTAAAGTGGAAATAAAATGTGCATTCAGATCCGCCCAGTGACGGCAGGACAGTGTAATAACCAAAAACATGAATAAATAGTCTTTGTATTTATGCTGCCAGTGTTCAGTGATGCTGAAGCACCGCTGGCCCCTCATCACAGAGTACACGTCATTGAGACAAACTGACTCGTCGTCACTGAGCCAAAGTTACTCCATCCTAGACGATAAATGGACTGCAGTCAAAATGAAGAGCTTATGAAGAGCTTCTTCAGTGAGAGGCTGCTTCACTCGTGGTGTCAAGGAGAGAAACCTGAGCTCCTTCCTTCCAGCTGCTGTCACACAACAATCAACACGCTTCAGTAGAAACAATTCACTCATTCAACTTCAATGAAACTGTTCAATATCAATATATCCTCGGTGCAATGATGTAGATTTAATAATCTATCAATTATATATATCTTTTAAGGATGCTTCTTGTTATTGAGAATGAGAATTTGTTCATTGACAGTTTGCTATAGTTACTGTACATTTTATATTCTATTTTTTGAACTTATTTGTTACATGTTTGAAGTAAATAAATACATAGAAATGAAACATAAGGATTGTCCCTGTCTGTTCATATTCATCAACACGAATCCCATTGCTTTATGACTATAAGTATAATTATTAAACATGTGTAAGATAAACATATCGTTTGTTTTCATGGACGGCCGAATGGTGCGTCACTTTAAATGTTGCCGCCGCAAGGAATTGTGGGGCCGAATTAACTACTTTCCTTTTGTAAAGGAAGGTCTAGTGTATCCTATGCTAATAAAGGAAGCTGATAAAGGAAGCATTGAAGCACCTTTCCTTAGCATTTAGAGAATTCTAACAGCTGTTATCATGACGGACACTTCAGATCATTTCACTCAGTGAGGAACCTTCCTAAGCAAAAAAAGACTATTCCACCACAGCCAAGCTGTGGACGGTATATTCTAATAAGCCTGCATGTGCCACAGGAAGGGGAGCTGAATCCGATTGGCTTGTTGAATTACATGATTTCTGATGCAGGCAGCCCACCACAAACTAACTGGGTCATCGGCTTTACCAGCTTGTGGGTTGGTAGGCTCTCCAGATACACAAACGGAATCAAAAAACACAGGACATGATGTTTGTCTATCCTTTGTGCCAAGGTGGTGAGCACTTCCAGGAAATTAACCTTGTTTTGAGTGGTTGACAATCGACAAGTGGGGGTTTCCCGGCTTGTGTGGGGTGTATCTTGGTGTGGTTTAGGTTGTAGAATTTTGGGACAGTTGGGCCCAGAACACATCATCAGTAATGTTCCCTTGTGCACAAGCACTGTAAAAGTGAGGCTTTTATCATATATATATATAAGAGACATTCAGATCAGTCTTTTATTTTGAGGTCCAACTGAAATCACAGCGACTTCCTGCACTCTAAAGATCATTCTTAATATATTGCCAATATTCTAGAAAGCATGAGCTAGAGAGCTGATGTCGGGTGGTCGGTCAGAGTCCGAGGCCTTGTGTTTTGTTGCGATGCTGTCTAGCTATAAAACATACATTTCTTTTACAGAGCACCTGTGTTCTGGAGCAGTTGGGCCTCAAAACATAGCCTTTTCATACAGGTACAATATTTAATGACAGACGTTACACACAAAGCAAGGTGTCACTGACGTTTTGATATACTGATATCACTGTCCTCATGTTCACTGTAAGCCAACGACTTGGATCTGAGTTATGCTTCAAGGACAGTCCCATGAGAGAGAGTGAGACAGGCAGGGAGAATCTGAAAAAGAAAGACGGAGAGAGACAGAGCAGGATAGAGGTAGACACCTGGAAAGATGGGCCGGAGGAGAAAGATACTGAGCCACACAGTCTAGTGCTGTGATGTCTGTCCCCGTCCCCCCCTCTGCACCCCTGTTCAGTCTCCCTTCATCAATCGAAGAAGACTGGGCAGTCTTGAGGTGAGACTTTGCCTCTTTACTTTATACCTAGCCAGTCCTATCTAATTGTGGAGGAGAGAATCAATGGACACTGGCGTGGGGGACGATGCTCTGCTCCAGGCCAGAGGAAGGAGGACGGTCCACCATCAGGTGTCAGTCACTGAGGATTGAGGCCTTCCTGAGGGAACTGGGCTCACGGCTACGTCCCCGGTTTGAGATCTGCACCAGAGAGAGAGAACAGAATCATTGTTGGTCTCTGGCTCTTCTCATTTGTACGATCATTAATCAATAATAAGTATTAAGGTTGCTAACATGAGCCACAATAAGCTTATGGTCATAGCAGACCAAGCGAGGCGGTCGCAGCTAAACTCTTGAGCATATTTGAATGAAAAAGGACACTTTTTACTGCTTCTGTAGAATATTGTTAAACACACAAAAAATAAGAGGGCTAAACATTACAATTAATTTCATGTGTAAGACATGAGGGTAACAGTCTGCCTTTCAGGCTGTGTTAACAGTGACAGTAACACGTTATCAACATATCTTCACCTTTACACGTAAAGACGAACATGTTAGCAAACAGTTACAGTAGCACACGTATTCCGCATCCAGCAGATAGGGGACAGCATTCTTTCAGTCCAGTATTCACTCTCTATTTCTTCTGTTTCTGTGAGCAAACTTGTGGGCCAGAAAACCAAAAGCTATTGGCTGAAAGATGCTCAAACAGTTCTCATAGCTGAGGGGAAGTGCAACGTCTGGTGATAATTCTCTACGAGTGACGACTTTCACATTACTTTTTTATTGTTTATCATCAAAGTTTTACAGATGAAAAATGTGACTGTAAGGGTTAATAAATTAAAAAAGGCATAACATTGTGAAAGCAGACATGAAAATTGAAAAAAAGGAAGTTACATCCATTCTCTGAATATATATGCGACAGTTTTGCAATTGACAATGTGGCCAACAGCTGACACATTCATGTAAGATGTTCATATCAACATCAGAACATTGTAGGCAGCAAGGAAGGAAGACCAGAGCAGGTAACGGAGGACTGTCACAGATGAGTCACTGAGAGGAAAGCCAACGCTGCTCATGTTCAAGTCAGGCCAAGCAAACCAGATCTCTCTTTAAAATATGCAGCGACAGAGGAAAGCAAGCAAGCCCCTTGTCTGACATCTCTCCGACATCCAAACGTCCCTCTTCCACCATAGCGCACACATTTCCAGAAGTGCTGTGTGCGAGATGAAAAACCAAAGAACTCTCTGGACAACTCAGACTTTATTCTTTTAGCTTCTTTCTCATTTCCCCCTCTTTCTCCCGTCTGCCTCGATCTGGCTCTCTGTCAGACTAAAAGGCCTTATGTAACGAGGTGCTGAAGCCTCCATGTCTTACCCAACATGCACTTGGGGATTACAGTGCATGGGCCCCCTTGCAGAAGAAGATGGGACTACGGGCTTGAGCTTTGTTTGTACTCCGCAGGCGGAGCACGACCTGGAGCATGAACGGAGGCGTTTCTACTCCCTGCGCTGTTCGTTGCATTATTATTAACACCAGAGGGCGTACAAACAAAATGAACTGTGAAGAATCAAAAAGACAATGAGTGTAATCCAGAGATATACACGTAGACTGTAGCTGGAACAGGCATAAACTACTTTATTGCCTTTCAACAAACCCTTTAAAGAAACAAGTCAAGTATTAAATATATTATGAAGAAACAAAAGGTTGAATATCCTGTAAACTACTTGATTTGAAATATTTACTCAGATGTCAATTTGTAAGACCTCCTGTTTCTAAAGCATTTAAAAACGTGCTGACCTTCTTTGTATAATCCCCAGACATGTATACAGTGCTTTTATCATTCAACTATTTGTGACAGTCACGTGATCGCGGCGCCAAATTACAAATAAATTCAGGAGGTGCAAGACCAGGCGGCCACGACCACTTGCGGAGCTTTCGTGCCCCACGCGTCGGCAGGGAGAGTATAAAGTACGCTTTTACAAGGTCCCACATGGGACAGGACGTGTGTGTTTATGGAGGCCTTATAGAACGGATAAAACTCTACCAAATACGTCAAAATGAATGCAACACACTTCAATGGTGCACTTTAAGATGTTCCCACTGGAGTCTGACAGCGGGTGTGAACAGCAGAACAGGAAGTAGGACCGTCACTGTCACAGTTGGGTTGCAGTGCCAGACTGCTTGTCGGCCAGAGAGGTGCCACAGCAGAAGGGACACGGAGAGAGATGACTCAGTGCTCTTTATCCTCCTCCTCTGTTTTTGCACTAGTAAACAAATACTGAAGGCAAATAGGAGCAACCCAAAGCCCTCCTCATCCCCACTATATGAGCCAGAGAATGAGACACAAACAGATCTGTTTGCTGAGTTTCACTGCAACGTCAACACTATGAAAGAGAGCAGGCAGGGAAAGGAGAGGTGAAAAACAGAGATGCTGAGGTGAATGTGAACGACACTGCTTTTCTCTTCTCACTGCACATTTAAAACCGCCGTATTGTCCTTGACATAATATACTATTCAAATAAATGGGAGTAGGGTTGAGAAGATCTGGGAATATTCAGGAAAACAGGAATATTTGTGAATAAAATGACTGCTCCGGCAACTAAGACAGGCCTACCCCTCCAATGAATTGCCACCTTAACATGGCCGAGAGGTTTGTGTGCCCCAGTGATCCTAGGACCTGTGTTGCCGGGGGCAATAGCTCCTGGTAGGGTCTCCTAAGGCAAAGTGGTCTCAGGGGATGGGCAGAGCGATTCTCTGACCCTATATGAATAAGCCGGAAAAACATTGTTGTACCTCTCCCTGGGTGGCATCCTGGAAAGGGCATCAACAGGGGACTCGATAATTCTGCAGTGTTTGTGTGGCGTTCCTTCCGTCTCTTCCTGTTTCCTTCACCTACATTCCCCTGGGTCCTAAGTGCCTCCATGTACAGCTTCTTATCACCCTCTATGTACCAACATACATTTATAACAAATACCACACATATTACACGGTACTCAGCGTTGCATATGTGTCTAACGAAAATACCAAAAAAAGAAATGATTCATTTAAATTATTTTTTTAGAGTTTTTAAAGTGTTTTTGTTTCGAATTTGTAAAATAAGCATATAATTTAGTTATCGCTACTGAGAATTTAACAAACATGACGTAGATAGGTTTGCAGTTTTCAAGGTGTATATTTCAAATTGCATCTCTTACACACATGAAGATAAAGTTGTGAACACCGGCTGAATATCTATTATCAGAATCATTATAACTGTATTTTAACTGCTACTGTGTAAAGGGAATACTGCTGTTAAAAAGCACCTTATTTGTTTAAAGTGTTTGCAAACCAAATGTTATTGTACTTTTGTTCATATAGCAGTACTTTTAAAGTAAAAGTGCCCAATACACTACTTTTGAATTCATTATTGAATTTTGCGCATAACAATGCGATTAATCGCAGAAAAATCATGCGATTAATCGCCATTAAAAATTGTAATCGTTGCCCAGCACTACTTTGTTTGTGTATTTCCCCCCCAATAAATTCACTGTTAAAAAAGCGAGAAAGTTTACGGAAATGTGCCGATCCTTTGCAACTCAAAAATGTGAGCGAACCATTTTTGTTTACAGTGTGAAAGACAAAAAAAAACAACTTTAATTTCTCACGATAAGGCACAGCTGTAACTTGTCTTATGTGTCAGGGTTTCTGCAAATTTCAGTCGAACTGGTCCATTAAAACATCTGCCATTGAACTGAGCTAAAACAGAGTACTTATAATGAATCAATATAACTCTACATCTATAAATGAAAGGTGTTAATCATACTGTAATCAAACATTTAGGGTCATAGTAACCCGTGTTATTTTCCTCTTTTGCTTTAAAAGGTGAATGAGAACAGATTTGACAATGTCAATGCAGATTTCTCTGGGTTTGAACATTGTTGGAACGTTTGAGATAATGAAAGTACATACAACTCATGGGAGAGAATAGGCACATTATACCTTTAAGAGATGATCCTGTATAATAACATGGTGAATGATTTCAGACCTCAAATAACTCTAACACCTGCAGACACCTGGTGTGTGTTTCTACATGTATTATATGTGTACGCCTCCCTCACCCTGCTTACCTAGGTCTCCCTTTCTGATGACACATCACCGTCGGCCCCACTGCTGGCATTGGGGTCCTGTCGGGACCGCACGGCGCCTTTTTCCCTGCTCGACTCTGAGGGGCCCTTGGAGCGCGTCTTCTCTTTCCTCTGGTGCTGCTTCTCCTGCTTTGACAGCTGAGGGAACAAGAAACAGGAAAGCTTGATTTGTAAAAAACAAAATTATAATAACTGTCATCTTGCAGTTCAAATTCATGAGCCCTTAACATGTACAATCACACATGCCCTAAAATTGTCCCCAAGAACATTTAGGTGTGTCTGAAGAGGAAAAGGAGTTACATTCAATCGCCTCAAATACTTTTCCCCACAGAGAACATGCCTGAACTTTGAAGTTGTGTGTGTTCTATGTGTTCCACATCATTGCAAAATAATGAGCCTACAAACAAGCAATAATTCTGAGCAGTGCGCTTGTATAGATTTTTCTAGATCATAGCCCAAAATATTTTCTGCCAAGTAACTTCACTGTAGCTTCCCTGCATGCAACGCGCATCACCATTTGCTTTTACCACCAATTATTCATATACATTTTATTATTATACCAGACTTATTCATTTACTTTGTTGTTATTACATTACTTCAATTAGTGACAGTGAAAGAGAATATGAGAATGGTAAGACAAAATGTTTGATGTCCATGTCCCGCTCATGATAATACATAGCATTCATTTAAACCCAGAAAAATACCAATCTCATTTTAAAGAGGCACTGTATAGAGTCTTGTAGCTCTGGAGAAGCTTGATCCAGTGTGAGGCTGTGTTTGAATCACATACTAAGCCACGGCACGCAGACACACGGCACAGAGACACACGGCACGCAGACACACGGCACGCAGACACACGGCACGCAGACACACGGCACGCAGACACACGGCACGCAGACACACGGCACGCAGACACACGGCACGCAGACACACGGCACGCAGACACACGGCACACAGACAGGATGTGAGAAATAGTTAGATCCTATTTGTAGGCTACTTGTAGTTTGCAGAATACGTTCCGATAGTTTGTAATAATATATAAATGTATATGAAAATATTTAACATTTGCAGATTGCACAACATGAGACGTATAGCTAACAATCTAGCTTCTACTATTTAAATTACACAGAATATTAGGATTCCCTACAAAACAGAAGAAATCAAGTTGATATATATATATATATAAACCTAAATAAGTAGTTCCCTTTAAAGACGGAAGTTTATATTGAAAAAAAAATGGACCCGTGTTGCTGGCTTTCCTAGACAAGCGCTCGTAAAATGAGGAGTAACCTTTCTTAAGATATCAAAAGAAGCGTTGTGTGAAGTTAAGTTGTAGAAATACATCCGCTTTGGCTGAACTGGAACTGAGACCTTATCCGTCTGGGGTTCCTGGTGGCTCACATCATGAACGTGCTGCATCGTGACTTGCAGATCATGACCTTTGCAGAATGTTCAGTATTCACCCAAAGGTGTATGAGAATTAGTGAAATTACTTAAACAAAGACGGAGAAACACGTCAGCGGCACAGACCAGCACTCCACATCTGACTTGTCTTTGTGGAAGTACAACCACTTCTACTCTCTCCTCACCAAGAGCTGCTCTGGGTCGTCATATGCTCATTTCAACGGGTCTATTGTTGTGACTACATGTCCAGCCTCGCACACACTCCAAAATAACAGTTCACAGTGCCACTCAGTAGCCAGTACTCCAGTCAAAGAGCTCCTCCTTTCCTCATTGTGTTCTTCACGGCCCATGAAACACCACAACAGTATGCCAGCCTCCATCTGAAAAGGGGCCTGTAAACACAGGTGCTAAAACTTTAATGGCGGCTGGGAAATATTTATGAACTAAATGTCATCTTGAAAATCCAAAGCATTGCGTAAGACATTACATTATTCAAAGAGGACCCAAAGAAATCAGTGTTATTCCCATTTGAACCCATTAACACGCTGTGGTATCAAACCAGGCCTACTGACTTTGTTGATACCGCTGTGAACAAACGTACACGTTCCTCTTCAAGCATTCAACATTTCAATCTCTAATGTTAAAGGATTCCTTCACCCCAAAATGATCATCTGTATATCAGATACTCGCCCCGTGTTACCTTGAATTCTAGAAGAAAACTTTGTTTCTCGATCCTCTGTGAATGAAGAATACAAAAGAACGGCGATTGGTGTTGACGAATTAAAGTAAATGGGGGCCACGTTCAAAACTACATGCAAACGTCCGTTTACAAAATCTCACACAACTCATGCAGAATAATCCAAGTCTCATTCATCCCGGAGTAACACGACTCCCGTTTAAAATACTTCAGACTCGTCCGGACGGGTAAGCGCCTGTGCAAGCATTACTCAGTTTATGCAGAAGAGTTTGAAATGGTACGGTTGTACTGAAGATGTTTGTGCTACATCAGCTGATGGATCAGCTGGTTCCCTTCTACGCGTCCTATTGACAAATTCTCATACAGGACCCCTATTTAAGCTGCTTCAGCCTGCTACCCTTGCTGCTTCCTCTGCAGGCCGCTTACAACACGCCTCCACCCCTCCTGCTGTGTCTGACTTAACCAATGTCACTTCTGTTGTCACTGATGCCGCCTCCGTTCTGTATCCTTGGGGGTCTTTGCAGCTGCTGTCCCCTTAGGCTTTTTACATAAGCACATGGAAGGGCAGGCTTAAAGTGGTGCTGGCTAAATTATCATTTCCTTTAAAGCTACAAACCCCAAAACTCTGAATCCCAACCTTACATGATCAAACAGTCCATCCTTTCTGTGTGTGTTGGGTTTCAGCCCAGAGCCCCAAAACCAAATGCACAAACAGTCATGTGATCAACCTTCAGAAAAGGACCCCTCTGCTATGGACCCCAGTCGTTCAGCGTCCCAACGGCAACATCCAAACGGCACGATTTCCATTGCTCTGGATAACACCATTGTTTGCTGGCCGCTTGACCCTGCAGAGGACTAAATCCCTGATTCATGGAAAGAATGGAACAGTGTCTGTTGGCCATTGCTTCATTTCCCCCCCGTGCCAAGTTTAGCCTGTTGGCTAGCCTTTTATCTCTCATGTTCAGCCTCAGCTTTGGCTCGTCGGCCTTCACAGCAAGAATTCCCAAACAGACAAGATTTAAATTCTGAGGACTGCTTAATATCCCTCCCTTTGGGCTAGCGAGTCAAGGCCACCGAGGGGAGGGCGGCCAAAGCCGGCCTGAAGCCAAAGCATGAGGACGCTGGCCGGGTTCCACAGAAGTGACCAGAATCCATTCAGGAGGACGGATATATGAACGTCTTCTGGAATAAGAGGCTGAGAGAGGTGTATACAGTGGTGCTTCATGAAAGAGATGTAGAGGTGAAACTAACCATTAACATAATCCTTTAGTAGTCCGACAGCAGGGACATTTACAAGTTATTGTTTACAAGTTATTGTTTTAATTATTTAAGAATAATAACTCAATTTACCACAAAGAAATACATTTTCATTATTATCAATACAGTCCATCCCAAACTGAGTTACAGGAGGAGCAATGTGGAGTGAATCCAAAGTGTTATCGTCAAACCTTATTAATTCCTACTTTGTATTGCATTAATAGCTGGAACACTGCCATCAAATAGTTCCAATGGGCTTTTCCTGCTGTGAAAAAGATCAATTACTGACTACGTTGGTAATAATAAGGAGTGCTCTCATGCTAGGAGAGCTATCAAGATTCAGCTTAGCATCATTTATTCAGAGAGCAAAACGACAGGTAAGGAAATCAAACATATGAAGAAGCTCTGGCCCTGGAGTTCACTGTCAGTGGATGAGGAGAGTCTTGTGTCTGCAACTAATGAAACTAATGTTGTTACCAGTTGATGGAAACACATTGTTTTGGCTTCTGAAAGGGGGGAAGCAATCTTTTTCATCCATCCATCCATCCATCCGTCATTATCTTTAACCGCTTATCCTAAAAAGTTATTATTATCCTGTTCAGGGTCACGGGGGGGCTGGAGAGAACCCACACTGAGACAGGGAGAACATGCCGACTCCACACAGAAGGCTCGTCTAGCCAGGGAATCGAACCCGGGCCCCTCATGCTGTGAGGCAACAGTGTTAGCCACCACCAGCCCGCAATCTTTTTCAATTAATTGAAATAATACTAAAATAAATATTAGTTTTAAACTAGAATTTCTGCCTTAAGGTTGAATGTTGCCGTCTACATCCATGTCTGTCTAAAATGTCATCACTTTAGACATTTGTGTGAAATTGTCATAAATAGTATATAAATTCTGCAGTTATAGTCTAAAATGTGAGAGACGGACAGACGGACAACCCAAAGATAATGTTTTGACACAACATGGGTGGCCGTGGCTCATGGGGTAGAGAGGGTTGCCCGGTAAACGCAAGGTTGGCAGTTCCATCCTTGGCTGCTATGTGTCGCATGCCGAAGTGCCCCTGAGCAAGACACTGAACCCCTAACCGTTCCCAATAAGCTATGGATGGGTTAATACAGAGGTTAAATTTCATACATATGTACCTAATGAGGAATATAATAAAGTTTAAGAACTTTACCTCAGTTAAATGTTGCTTAAATCAGAAACGTTCTGATCAAAGTGGACATATTTTGGTCTGAACCAAAAAAGTATTGAGGATTAATACTCAACCCTGCCCATCATAAGTTGTCAGAACTTAATTTGACATCGACTCGTCTATTAATCGACTATTCACTTCAGCAACACGAATATCCTCTCCTCCCCAACACAGCAGGGCACATGCATGAAGGACCTAACAGGGAATCAGTCACACCGCAGCAGGAGACATGGATCTTGGAAAAGACATGAACATTTTTTTGAAGTTCTTTTTCCATCCCTCTTCACTCATCAAATGCAGAGCCCATCCAATAATTCAGGCAGATTTGACTTTGTCATGTCAATAAAAATCCAAAGATATGTTGGACATAAGTAATGGCTGGAATCATTTCTTGGGGCTCGCATGGCGCAGAGAAACAACTAACTGGAGGGGAAAAAAACATTAAAGTTTGACTATTTTAGAGATTGGAGAAACCAGCAAGAGGACTTTAGATTTGACAGCATCTAACCGAAAACCCAACTCTTCTCCACTGAAAGTAGCTCGCAGCTTTTAAATGTTGGATGTACATTTCTTCTTAGAAACTATAACACATCAGCTTTGATCTAAAAGTCAGTTGAGCTCAGATCTCATTTCATATTTACAGCGACATAATAATTAAACAGAGGTCAGTGGGAGTGGAAATAAACCACAATTTCCTCAATTCTGTCTTTGCACAATCCATGTTTCTTAACAAAATCATTATCATTAAAAAAAAAACTGCTTTACATGTAACATGAGAAGCCAGAGTTACTGCACACAACAGGGGAGTGAATAGCCCCACCTAGTGGTTCACAATGAGGACTAGAATGAGCCCCTGGAAAGAGGAATGACACTTTGTGAATGATTTTAAGTTGGGTAGATTTATTAAAGAGAAGTCAAGTCAATTTTTGTAATGTACATAATGACTCTGAATCTGTATGTAACCATGTATGTAGCTCAGTTTACTAGCTTTATTCTGAGCTGGAAATTAAACCCCGACAACTGAGGAAACGCCATCAACTTATACGAGACTGTGGAATACGGTTGAAAGCTCCAGCAGAGAGCTAATAAGTGGACCTTGAGTTCAATTGTTCCATCAATCCACTTTGTCCAAACCTCAAAAAACGTACCTGTCTGGGGTCTGAGGGGCCCGTGGGTGACGTCAGTTCGACAGTAACAGGGCCGTCATTTTGAATTTGGACCTGCATGTAGGCCCCGAACTTCCCGTCTGGAGACACAAGACCAAACAGACATTTTACAAGCCATCAACAATCAAACGTCAGAGACGTAGGATGAAGCCAGGTTTCATCCGTTAGCATCACTTTACTAAATCTAAGTAGACCAGCGCATCCAAATCCAATCCCATCCTAACGTCAAGAGGCAGTACACGCTGTTTGTTTGGCATCGTCAGTCGATGTCCCATGAGGACGTAGGACGACGTGGACCCTGGAGACATTGGGGACTAAAGACGAAGGGGCTGTAGGAGGACAGGAAGTTTCAACTTAAATGTTCTCCTTTCTTCAAACAGGGTGCAGGAGATTAATGACACCACCAAAAGCACTGCATCATCATATTTCCTCTCTGGAGGAGGGGGGCGGCGCTAATTAGGAAGCCTTATGCCTGCCTTGCTGGGACGAGGTGTTCTCCGCACCCGCTCCCCGGTGGGCTGACCCAATTCACTGCCACCGTCACCACCGCGCCGTCAGAGCCGTGAGATAACCCCCCCCCCAAAGGTCTTACACTGAGATGGGAATACTGCAATGAAATAGCAGGGGGGCAGGGCACCGATCCAAACGTATGAGTGGGTGGCGACAATGGTGACCCTCAACACTTTACTTTTTAATAAGCTCGGAAACAAGTTTTCTTTTTATCCGTCTTGTCCTCCAGCCTCCTGGGTCTCTGTTGAAACCGGCTTCATTGTGACCTCCACACTGTTTGGAAACTTCAAACTCTGACCTCACAAAATCTAGCACACTGTCGTAGAACTAGAGAAGTGTACTCGGTGGAGTGCAGATCTCCCCTCCCAAACAACGAAGAGGCTAATCACTCAGTTGTTCCTCCCTAACTTTAGTGGATCAAATCTGACCTCGGGCTGACGTTTAATGTGTAGGGATAACTGGGACACTATCAGAAGTAAGTGTGTTATCAGCTCTCCTCTGAGGTGCAGCAGCAGCAGCAGCAGGAAACAGTGAGTGACGGGTTCACTCACCTTTAATGAGCTCCGGCTTGTAGCTGGTCCTCATGTTCTCCAGGATGCTGCTGTAGAAGGGCTGGGCCAGCTCGGCGGGCATGGCTGAGTGAAAGTCTGGCTTGTTACCCTTCAGAACACACTGCAGCGTGAACTGGCTGATGCACAGCACCTCAAAGTCACGGTCCATGACACTTTTGGTCCACGCTCGGCCGCTCTCGTCCTCAAACAGCCGCAGGTTGAGGATCTTCCGCACTCTGAAAACACGCGAGGATCAGCGGTGAGGAAACTGGGACAATCCCTCCGATCCATGTGGTCAATGCGAGCGGAGACTTTAGGACTTTAGAGCACACGTTAGGAGACCGATCTCCTGTCCTCCACACATCATTGCTTTTCATGCTAGGACATGAAACTTGACCGATACATGTAATCACTCACAACAAGGATTTAGTTGTCTATATTGTCGATCAGAGTTCTAAGACGGTGTAGTTCAGGTCTAAAACTCTGCTTGCTTTTGATCGTTTTGAGCTCCTTAACTACAAACCATGGATACTTTCTATCTTTGCTCATCATTTTTAATGCGTGATATAGTCTGAGGTGTGTTTATGTACCTTCCCTTTTGTTCCAGACACTTATTGGCTCACATTAAGTGTGATTGTACTCCATCATGTTTAGTCATCGTTGCATGGCAATGAGACTGGTTTCTAAAGGCTGTACTGCAGAAAACAAAAAAATGCACTCCTGATGTTCAGTGTTGTTGGATTACACAATGTTAACACATTTAAAGACTTTAACACTCTGTGTGAGGAAATGAATGGAAGCCAATAGTTGCCTGGAATAGTAGAAGAGTTCAACTGGCCATGGCCTTGGAAGTAATGAGCCCCCCTTCTGGGCTCTAACATGTAAAAGACACTACAGACACTAGAACATCTACTAAAACATACTTGAGTCTACAAATACTTGAATCAGCTTCAGAATGACCCACCATCTGGAAGTTTATGATTATTAAATACAAACGCCCCCTGGATGTAAAACATGTAAATACAATAACACACGAAACAAAAACGTTTTGTGTAACTCAATGAAATAAAAATATCAACCAATAACAAAACATTTTACATTAAATGGTTGATGTTAACTCTTTAAATGTGTGCTATAAAAGAAGAAATGTACTTCATGGGACCTTGAAAGAAAAACTTGTCTCTACTGACATATCTTGTTATGAACTCTAGTCGAAAATACATTAGTTCATAACTCCAAACTCATCTGAGTGGTACTGCACATAACACAGAGTGTTCCCTCTGATGATTTGAACTGTAGCCAGGGCCCGTTATGGTGTTGAAGGCCCCTCCCACAAACACTCACATGTAGTCTGCATCCTTCTGGGTGTCCTCCACCGACACTCCCAGCAGCACGCACAGTCCTCGTCCTATGGAACTGATCTCTTCTTCTCCCACTGCAGGGACACAGGAAAAGGGTCGAGGACATGAGCAGCTACTGTCTTCATTCAGGGACAAGTAGCCGGTACAGACAGGGGGCATACAGGAGACAGACAGGGGGCATACAGGAGACAGACAGGGGGCATACAGGAGACAGACAGGGGGCATACAGGAGACAGACAGGGGACATACAGGAGACAGGCAGGAGACATACAGGAGACAGACAGGGGATTTCATCCTATACCCTTTGCTGGTTTCCTTTGAGCTTGGACACCCGGCCAAGCCTCCGGATAGGCAACCCCCACGGTCTGCCTGTCTCTGGAGCCATGCGTTTAACGTAGCTGCTAGTGCTAATGCTAACCCAGCTAGGTGAGCTAACGCGCGCGCTCAGCGACGTCAATAAACGAACGCTGTTAGCCTCGGTTTAGCGACACTACGAAAGGGGTGAAGGCATCCCGCCTCGCGCAGGTCCTTACCTGTCACGGTCGCCTTGGTGACCCTCTGGATGATAACTCTCATCGTTCCGCTCGTGTCGGGCCGCTCAGTCTCTCAGCTTCCGCACACCTCCGCCGTGGACGGGACGCTGTCGCCCTCTAGCGGCCGGAACACGCATCACACTTCCCGGAGGTGTGTGGTACAAAGATGTTCCTTCTTCTTCGTAAAATAAGTGGAAAGTAACTAAGTGTATTTACTCGATTACTATACAATTCAGAGGTACTTGTACCTTACTTGTTATTTCATTTCCTGCTGCCCTGTACTCGTAGGCGACTCCACTAGATTTCAGAGTGAATATAACGAGCTACCTGACAGCTTGTTACTTTGCAGGAAAAGATTTTAAACCTATAATGAGCATGTAATGTGATGCATCGTGTAACAGTATTTAAAATAGCTCAAATGACTTTGGGCCTTAAATACATCAGAAATAATTAATGTTACAACAGTTAACTCTGACAAAGCTCATTTTCCTGCATAGCAGGTGCTTTGACCTCTAAGTTTGTTTTACTTCTGTAAAAGTATGGAAAGCAGGACTTTCACTTGTAATGGAGGTTTTTTTTTTTCACAGTGTGGTATTTTATCACTCACGTCAGCAAAGGATCTGACTCTAAATACTAAGTTTGTGAATATAACAGCAACCTCTAAATATGAATTTTAATTACAAAGCAAATGAGAGAGCTTATTTACCCGACATAACTCAATGTTTCAAATTGATACAACAGCCCAACTGTATGACAAATCTGAGCAATAATGCCGTACAAATGTTACAATATTACAGTATAGTGCAGCGTTGATGTATCGGGTATTGCATGAATGGATATTGCTTTCACCGGGGTCAGAAAAACTAAGGTGCTTCTCATGTATTTCCACCTCATAGGCCTTTTTTTGGAGGACAAAGATGGATGAATTCTTCTTGGCTGCCTCAGTCGTGGGTTAGACATCACTAATGTTATTAGTAACTGCTGTCTCAGTCATCAATCAACATAAAAAAATTTTTAAAAATCTATAAAAAATAATCCATATATATAAAAACAACAACCTTCAGACAGTTTCATATTAGCCTCTTACATAATGAAGAGATTACATTTATTTATACATCATTAGTTATATTGTGGACAGGAGCTGACAGTAACATCACTGAATATCGTTGGCAGATAAAGAATAAAATATATCTGGGGGTCAGACCATTAGCATCCAAACACAATGTCAGCTGCCTCCGACCTGGATAGTGCGCTGGAATTTATTTTCCAAATAAAGAGAATATCCTCACACAAAAGCATTCATTCATTCAAATAAAGTATATATATTATATTCTACTCTATTCATTCATAGTGCATGATAAAAAGGTGCTCCTGACGAGCCCAGTGTCCATCGTCATTTGTCACTGTCTCCACTCTTTGGGTCCCCGCTGAAGGACCGGATGAAGCTGAAGATCCTCGTGCTGTACGGGACAAAGTCTGTCCTGTAGACGATGATCGTTTTGGAGTGAGCCGTCTGGTGGACGACCTTGTTTGGATCTTCTGGCTCTTCAACCTCTTCTCTTTTTTTCACTAAGTTCAAGGGTCAAAGTAAAGAGTGAGCAGTTAGAGCTGATATCATTCTATGTAAGCTGGGTTGAGTGAATAACATACAGGATAACAACTGTGAAAGGCAGCCGTGTCTGAATGAATGTGAGCAATTGATATTGTTATTTATTTATTGTAATAAACATTCTCAGCTTGACTAAACAATACATACAAATCAAAATAAAGATAAATAACGTAAGAAATGAATTTATTGAAGCACTTTGAAGTATTAATCTGAAAAACAACTATTGCTGTCAGAGACGTGCAGGAAAAAGTGCAATATTTCAACATAACATTGAAATAGTCAAGTACCCGAACACATTATTGAAGTCCATTACATGAATAAATTATATTCATACTAGACTACACTAACTGCTGATTACAGCCACACAGTTCAAACTATAGATGGTGATATGGGTTCACGTTAATGCTAAACAGGCAAACTGACTTTTACTGGAATAAAGAATAAAGCAAAGCTGCACAGTGATGATAGAAAGATGATGAAGTTAGTTTGTCAAAGGCATCGTGCCAAGAAGATTGCGGTCAAGCCAACCCTCACGTTGTTTAGCGGTCCGTGTATACAGTAGACATTACGGTGTAATCAGTGTGTCAGCACTGACTTCAAAATAAAAGCTAAGTTCCGGTGAATGCGACAGGCAATTTCACATTCATTCAATAAAGAAATAATTACATAAATAAATAAAATGCACCAATAAGTAAGACAAAATGAATAAATATTGAATAACAAAAAAATAATAAAATAGTAAATAACTGCCACCTGCAAATTGTACTTTAGAGAAAATGTAATTCCAACTATATAAATAATTAGTCAGACTTAAATAAGAATACATTTCCAAAGACCAACCTGACCTCAAAATTAGTACTTTACCTCACATTCAAAAACTCGATCCACTTTGGATTAATAGGAGACCACCTCCGAGTATCACTTAGATAATATCAAGATATTCTGATGTGGAATTTCAAAATGAAAGCCCTTAAAATGTCTTATCAGCTATCTCCCCTCTAATTTCATGTTAGAAAGGAACGGCCTACTGTCACCGATTTATTTCACTTCAGAATGATAGCAGACTATCAGTGTGACTCTAAGATAATAATAAAAGGACATTCTGATGCAGATTTTCTAAATTGACATTAAAATCTCATATATGAGCGAAATGCAATGGAAAATTTTAAGGGTCAACTTTCATGTATGTTTATGACGACTGTAATTTAGACTTTAAGATCTGTTTTTACTCTGTTTTTTCTAAATTCAGCCTGCAGTACACGCAAAAAATCCTCGGTATGTTTTCATTTTTAATGAGAGATTCACTGATTTATTGAATGAATGTGAAATTGCCCATCACATTCACCAGAACGTGAAATTGCCCATCACATTCACCAGAACGTAGCTCTTATTTTGAAGTCAGTTCTCACACGCTCTTACCGTAATGTCTACTGTGTTAACGCACCGTAAAACAACGTGGAGTCCAAGAAGACTCTAGTGACGGTCTGTTCACAGATCTAGGAACACTGTGACTCTAGTGAACTAGTGAACTGAATAAGTACAAACCGAATTAGCTCGTACGGTTCGTTTTACAGCATCTAGTAATAAAATAATACAAGACTCCTAAACATGGACTGTTTATATAACCGACTAAACAGCAGTATAACACGGTTACAGTTGATCGTCCCTCACCTGGCGTGTCAAATCGACCCGAGTACGTGACGTATGCGTAAGAACCGACCATGGTCCAGATACCAACAGCGTAGACTGCAGACACTCTCTTGTTCCACTTCACCAGATCTTTGAAATTCATGACAGCAGTCTGCTCCGGGTTTGTTAGTCTCTTCAGGGGTTAGGGCATCTATTTTCAGTTCTATCTGTGCGCCGCCATGACAGTTAACCCGGAAGTACAACTGAAAATGAAAATTTCTGGTCAGGGTTTTATCATAAATATCAAACGTTATGTTTTTATCAAGAAATGTTGATGTACGTCACATGCAAACTTGAAAAATTAGACATTGTATAAAAATATCAATAAAAGGAAACAAAGATTTAAGACCATAATGCTGATCATACATATTTAAATTTAAAATTTAAATTTAAATTTATGTTTGTATACACATAAACACATATGAGGCACCACATAATAATAATGAAAAAAATATTTTCTGAGTTTGATAACAATTTCAAAAATTTCTGTCAAACACTGTGACTGGAAATAACCCGGGACACATTTATAATGTTCATGTTTAAAACTGTCGAATGGTCAATAGACTGTAAAGTTGTGAAAATTGTACAGAAATCCTGACGGCTCATTTCAATTTATACATTAGCAGTATTATGAACTGGATGTCTGTGGAGACATTCCTGGGGGAAAAAGCTGTATAACAGTTTTTCTCCATTGTATAGCCTTACACACACAAAACTATGCACACAATTCACACAAAATAGCATGTTTGTATGGAATTGAAATTGCTAATCTCAATTCCTTTGTTCTCCAATAGAAATTCTAAATCAAGCAGGACTGAAGTCTTACGGATTGATTTTTTGAAGGCACAGTCGTTGAATATTAGCTGTGTGTATTTTTCCATGGATTGAGCGTTTTGATATTTTTATAGTATTTATATTGCACTTAGACCTGTCTTATAATAAATGTCCCGTATTTTTACAAACGGGACCTTTAAAAGGTTCACTATACAATATTCAGAGTATAAATATAGCACCAAGTATCATAAAGATATAGAGGAGTAATGTCTACCAGAGCAGAGAATGAAATCTGTGTGTGTGTGTGTTGCTATCACAGCTTCTCCTCTCTTTGTTCACATAGCTAGCCGGCCGCCCATGTGCCTTTTAGTGCATCTTAGAGCATGTGAGCGTGCCTCACTGGTTAGCTCATGGCCGCCGCTCTGCTCTGCTCTCATATGGCGGTTACAGCTGATAACGCTCGTCCCTCTGATCCACCCTCCAGTAAACACTTTTAGCTCTGTCAGCACTTTCAGCGTTGTTAGCACCGTTAGCTGCTAGCAGCCGGCTCAGCCGTCTCCATGTTGAGAACCGTGTGGAGGCAATAGAAATGCTCTGAATATCGAATTTAGCAATTTTAAGTCTTTGAAGTGGAATGCTGGTCTATGTTTCTATTGAAATATATATTTGGATATAGAAAAAAAATAACACAATTTCCTAAAACAGCTGGGCATTTTTGCAAAAACTACTCAAGCAGGGGTACATAGTAGGTTTGGGACTATTTTCCGCAGTGGATTTGTACACATTTGGTGCACTAGTGAGGATTTACATCAACAGGACAATGTATGTGAGACTGACTCAAATGAAATACAGCGTACATGATCATGGTGAAGAAGGAACAGTGTGGCTCACTGATGTGGAGGATCAGGATTTGTTATTGAAAAATACAGAATATCACCAGACTTGTTCTTTAAAAATGCTTCATACAAAATGTGTTTCAGGTGCACAGCTGTTATTACCCACCGGATGTGGAGCTTTTGCTAAAATTCAGTTGGACAGTATCTTATCTTAGTACAGTTATCACAACAGCCTCCGTTTAGAATTTAAACTATTATTATTATTATGAGTGGTTGTTTCATTTTTTCTTTTGAATATGAGTGATGCTAAATTATGCTATAATTGCAGATGTCACATAGGACGTCCACAATATTTCATAGATATATTCACACACCTTTGGTTTTATTTTTTCATCCTCCATCTCCTGGAGGCCCTGAAGCATGACGGTGTAGATCCACTCGTGCCAGCACTGACACATACCTGAGTAATAGTGTTTAGCTGTGGGCTTCTTAATGCAACTCACTCACATCTCCCCGAACTATTTGCACTTTAAAGACATCTGAGTGTGGAAAATAATTGTTATTATAAACGGTTACTTCACACCGGTGGTGTTGAGGTGACATCTTAACAGAAATCAAACACTGCCTGTGTCCGTTTGAAGGGTGAAGTCAGATGAATCGGTCCACGTTAATGTAAGAGACAGAAGAAAAAAACACATGGTGCTGTGTTGTTGCTTGATCGCTGTTACATCAACAGACTTCTCAAACATGTCACTAAAGAATTCATACCGCATACGTTTCTTTTCAGGATGGATTCAGACTTGATCGAACAGATTAAACTCTGAGTCACACCTCCATCACAAGGTTTGTGTCAGTAGTTCCAGATTGAGTCCTCCTCGTTCCTGTCTCTGTTTAAGTCTCTTTACCTGACACGGTGGATAAAAAAACCTCTCTTATATAAGAGAGGTTTCTCAGCCACTTGAAGTTGTATACCTGTGATGCATTTCTCAGCTCCAGTGAGAATGAATATAAATCTGACAGTCACGGTGCTGGGGGGAGTCAGGCCTCACTGCTGCTGTAAAGCTCAAAGCATGTAAACAAAGTCACAGCAACACAGTTCCCTATTACTGCTCATATTCAGATGCACAGGAGTCTGCTGCTGAATCATGATCACTATCTACGGCGCTGCAGCACGTTCTTCTAGAGCAGGTATACAAGTTAATGAGCATGAATTGTTTTGTCCATACTTTTCATTTACAATAATTATATTTTTCAGGCCTTTCAGAGTCAAGGTCACATTCTTTTAATGTGTAAGACTCTTCACCCATGACACAAGCATGTGATTATAGAAAAAAAGGAAAGTAGTTATCGGTAGAGTCGTGCGACACACTCTGCCTTTATTCTGTTGTTTTCTTCTGCCATTCAAAGAGCCCGGGGCTCTCCTTCCTGCACTGACTAAACAGAGAGCCTGTCAGGGGCCCATTCCACTTTGTTGGGACTTGTCGACTGAAGCTATGAGTCAGACACATGCATGTCTCCGGCAATGCACAGCGTATTCCTTCAGCAACTGGACTTGATACACTGCGATGTGCTGAACAGGAAAGACTCATCTGTCTTTTCTGCTGGGAGACATCGTGGGGGGAGGCATTATTTCTGAACAAATGATCTAAAAGGTAAGAAAACTCACTCCCATTCTGTTTTAAAAAATCACTCAAACCTATTAGCCACTATGCAATCATTAGTCAATGCTGGACTATGGTTTCACGGGTTCAGGTTGTCGCCACTTCAAAGGAATAACATGAGTCATGGCAGCCATAATCGTTGTGAATAACGGTAATAAATGAATAATTATAACTATAGACTTTAGCGTGTATGTCCTGAGTCTCTTTAACATGGAAAATGCCTTTTAAAGATTACATAAGATCATCTTTATTGATCCATGAAATACATGCAATAGCAGGAAAAAAATAAAAGGCACAATGCATTAACAAAGTATATTCAAACACGCATAATAACACATATAGTGAGAAGGTTAGGAAGTTGCAGTGTATGAATACATGCAAAAATGCACTTAAGTGAATAGAATTGTGGGAAAGTGTTTGTGTATTATGCAGTTTGCCATAACTTTGAGAGCAAGGCGGAGTAAACAAGGTTCTTTTTCAAAAGGCACATCAATTTTATGAAAAACGTCACTGGAGTGTCATGACAAGAACCATCAGCATCTCGTTTACATGCAGCTAAGAGTTCATTGAGAACTGCTAATAAATAAAACAATTTGGATCGGGGCAAGTACAAATGGACTTTGGGCAAGTGATTCCCGACCTACCGACCTTCCAGGCTAGTAAAAACATGTTAAAAGGTGCGACAGGCCAACCCTTGTTCACATTAAATAGAACCACGTTTAACCGTTAGTTATCCCAAATGCTGTCAGTGTGAGAGCAACACAGCAAGTCATTATGATATTAAACAATGCAAATATGATTGGGAAGAAAAAACAACTAATGGAGTTAACTGATCTTCCTCATGTTTTACAAAAATACAATGAGAAAAGGAACAAATTGTCTCCATATACTCCATGTTAGTGTCTTTAAAGCCAGACTATGTAACGCTGTTCTTAACAGCAGCCACTGCGGCCACAAGGAACCATGATGGGATGATGCTAAATGCTAAAATGTAGTGTAACGGCAGTGATAAAGTCAGGGAGCTGGGAAGTTTTCTAACCTTAGCTAAGGTTAGCCACCATAAGCTACTGGTCAGACCAGACCAGGTAAGGCTGCAGCACCAAAACGGTGTGAGACACGGTGTCGGTTAGTGCTTAAGGATTTACTTTTTTATTAATAAGAGGGAGAATATGTTAAGTTCTTCTTTCAAAAGTTTGCGTAAGTGCGTGTGTAATCGAAATTCTATCAGTGAAGACAACAGTCTTGAGCAACTCTGTTTGCCCCCTAGTGGCAGTATGATAGATGACAGTGTAGTGGACAGTGTACACACCTCTACCCACAACTAAATGGAACAACTAAATGAGCTAAAAGCAACACCTAGTTTTCACGGGATTCACTAAAGCCTTTTGTTTGTAGACAAATCCCCAAAGTCCCAGTGGAACAGACATTAGAGCGTCTGTAGCTTCTGTACTGTGACATCTTTCACAATGAAACAGAGTTTTTGAGCGTTAAACAGTTACAAGAGGGATTTAAATCAAATCCTTCATATTTGATTGGACAGCAAAAAAAGTGGGCGGGCTTATAGTTCATCACAATATGGAGCTACAGAGGACTGTTGGCTCCACACACGCCTCCCTCACCTGTTGTCAGATCAGGAGGAGGAGGGAGAGATGAGAGATGCTCTGTCTCACTGCAGAGCGACCACTTCATGCAGATGGACGGCGCCCAGCCTCCCTTCATGCCGCCAGCGTCCCCGCTCAACCGCTCATTTGAATGGGAAAATGCTCTAATCACATGCTTTGTATTATTTTTGAAGCCATTACTTTATTTGTGATCTCTAAAATGTAAAGAAGTAACTCTGTGGCAATGCCCCATCTCATTTATCTAACTTTAGTTTGTGAGTTCTTTGTTAGTGTCAGTGTGCCCTTGTTCCTCTGGTTGTGAAACCTCACCTGTTTCAGCTGAAGTTCTGTAGTGATCCGCCTTTTAGGTTCTTTTTGTTCAAAGGAAAGCCACATTCATCATAGAGCTACGCCCTTTCTATACAGCTTCAGGTGAACCCTTTACATCAATGGCATGTTGGATTCTATAGAGCCCCATCCACAGGAAACATGGCTACAAAGGAAAGAAATATGACCACACAAAATGAAAGTTTATGACTCAGAAAAAAGGCCTGTGTGTAACGCCTCGGGGAGTAGTAACTTTCCAGCTCTGCGTGACCAAAATCTACTTTTTCACAGTTTTAGTCTGTCATATTTTACACAGTATAAAGGTATTTGTTCTCAGGAATCAAACAGTGTGTGTTCTGCTTTCTTTTCAACAGCTAGCATTGAATGGACAAACTAATTACAACCACGACTGTCGGTTCTGCTGGAGGTGTTGGAGGAAGCAGCAGAGGTAAGATCTCAGAGGTGTTGGCCTTTACCTGTTACACTTTTGATTTGATATACTTCACACGAGCTAAAAGAAGCTGTGTAATGCCATGTATCACTGACATGCCATGAGTTTGATGTCAGCGTTTTAAAAGGTTTGTTCATTTAAATTACAAGAAAAAAGGGAAAAGGGATCTGTCTCCTTCATTTCTGCTTCCACCTCAATACACGCTGTGCTGTTTTTATATGAGGACTAGTTCAGAGGAAAACTCTTTACAGTGGACCAAACTTTCAAAGGACACATGCTAGAGAATGAAATAAGAACATCAGTGTTCTTGTATTAGTATTTTATAATTCAATCCTTCCTTACAAAGTGTTGGGGAAGCTACTCTGAAAGTTTTGAGAGCCACTAACTACGAGCTCGTCTTTGCAGTATAGAGTGCATTGACTCTCGGTCAGCTCCCAAGTTAGAGCGGTGGAGCTGGTCAGTGTCACGTATCTGCAGGGTGATTGTTGATGATGCTGTTGCTGTGAAACTAATACTCTCATTACATGTAGTTCTCTACTCAACTGACATCACAAAGTAAGCTGTGCCATATCGAATGGCAGATTGTGAAGTTAAGTCTGGTCTGATCAAATTGTTTTATACTAACTGACTCAAATGTTGGATTACAGATCATCCCTCCCCGGGGAGAGTTATTCATGACACACATAGCCCCAAAACACTCGCACACACACAGATGACCCTCGTAGAGAGCTACAGGTCTTTCTGTAGTGCAACAGGAAGTCATCATCACTGGTTCCCTCCACAAACAGCCAATAGGATTCTTCTTCTGATTTTGGATTACTACAGAAAATAATCTGTGTCAAACAAACATGAATGATACTTACAGGTTTTGTAATCTTCACTAATGAACACCACTTTTATGTTGTTTGAAGTGTAAAGTAAAAAGCTAACGTTCTAAATGCCATAAAGGGACTCCACCACGGTCACATGGCTTCACATCTCCACCACTGAGCTAAAGGAGGACTAGTGTTCCAGTGAGGACATTTAGTCGTCTCATTTAGACTCTTTTTAAGACACGTAAAAGATTCTAAACTCACCAGAGGGGCATTTACTGACCTATTTAATATCGTAGAACTAAACCCTTGTGTCAAACACAGACCTCATTTCAGACATCTAACCAGAAACCCATTTATAAAATATATATATATAAATAAACCTACCGTATGCTACTTTCCCAGCACCAAAAAAAAGTAAATGGAGACCAAAGCTAAGCTAAAAGGAGAGTGAATATTATTATTTAGCCAAAGTACAGCTGCAGATGAATGCTCGTGTATCTCTGTTTCTGCAGGATGGTTTCTCGCTCACATGTTAGCCATATCAACTGTAGAAGTTGATCATATTGTATGTCAGTGTTATGTTTACAGCTTGTGTTGCTACCCCCAGGCGGCCAGAAAACCCCCTGAATGCAACTTTAAAATATGTTGGTGGAGGCAAAGAATGATAGAGACATGCTATCGTCATATTTCTCCCCTAGAGGAAGCTGGAGGCTCCAGATGTCAGCTTGTCTTTTTTATTAAAAGATCATTACCCTGGGCAGCGCCAGCAACTATGTTCTATGTGTGTCATAAATCAATCTCATACAAGTGGAAGGATTCCGAGAGTATTAAGCATGTTCAGGCACACTACCAGGCAAAAGAAGTTTGAATAGGTATTCACGTTATAGCTCAAATATGAGCTTTGCCAGTGCAGTCTTGTAGGTGAAACTGGATTCAGGCGGATCTTTTAACAAAGAGTGTAATAACTGATCGCTGTAATCTCCTCTCTTTTAATGTCCTTTCTCTCCCTTTAGCTGATCTTTCTCTGAGTGCAGGAGGGTCAGGTGAGAGAGCTGCATCAGGAGGCTCTAACAGCAGCGTTCTGTTCACATCCAGCAGCTCCTCTGGACCAGGAGGCCTCAGCTTCTCAACTCTAGGAGCTTCCTCCGCTGTGTCCTCCGGTGGAGGGAGGTCAGCGGCTTCGGGGGGCTCAGGGGCAGGGTTTAGGGCTGCCGGTGGAGGGTCCTCCAGCATGTCCTCTGGTTTTGCGAGTGGCGGCAGAGAAGGAAAAAGGGAAGGGGGTCTAGGTTCGGTGACGGTTTCAACAGTGACGAAGGCCAGCTACGGTCCGGGAGGATCCGGGGGAACGAAGAGAGGATTGTCCTCCGCTGTCACTCATTTACCCACTCCAAAAGAGAGGAAGAACATGAGCACCAGCATGGCAGCTGCTCTCTCAGATGTCTTATACGGTTAGTCATAGGTCAGAGGTCAAGTCATTCACGCTGCTTTGCTGAACTGTTTCTTGAAGGCTGATCTGATCATTACTTTGTCACCACGTTTCAGAGAGTTCAAGCACAAACTCCTCTCCAGAGTACAACAGGAAAGAGCACGGTAAGCTTTACCTGGGTCTCAGATCATGATCTGGAATGAGCACACAAATTCAAACTGTCAACGATTTAGGTTTCCTTCTTTTTTCTTTTAGGCTCTTCAAGTGCAACTTCAAGTAGTGCCACCAGAGGGAGAACTCAGAGCAGAGGTACACTGGCTGCTGTGTCACAGTGCACTTAAAGGATAGGACATAAACAATGCATATCAATACAGGTTTGACCTTTACTTTATACCTTGTTATCAAAGCAATGTACAATGAAAACATTTTGTGGTTTGTGTAGAGAGCGAGATCAGAGCCAGGCTGCAGAGTGCTTCTCCTCCAGCAAGCTGTGAGTATAGGACTCTTCACGGCCATGCATACCTACATCTGATCCCAAAAGAAAGAGGTCATGATGCAGCAGTGTGATCATGACATACTGTCAGTCTGACATGTTGGTATTTATTGACTTCTTGTCGGTGCATTGACTAAAAGCTTTCTTGAAGTGGACACAGAGTGGTCCTCTGTTTGATGTGAGCTCTGCTGTGCAGGGACGGAGCTGGATGACGTGAAGCGCCTGCTGAGAGGAAAGCGCTCCACCGGCACCAGCCCCACTCAGTCCCCTAACAACACGCTGCCCATCCCCAAGAAGGCCAGCGTGGACACTAGGACCGTGTCCAAGAACCGCAGCACAGGTTCAACCGATCAGCCATCATATGGTGATATTCATACACACTGGCCTCCTTTATGTACCACAATATGGAGCATTGATGAACCATTGTTTAAAGTACACTTCTTCTAGTCTGTCCTCATTCATTCTGTCTTCCCTACTAGACCACTATGGCAGCATTTGGTCCGGAGGTGTGAGCAGTAGCTACAGTTACAACACCAACACCCTGTCCTCTCCCTCCACCCTTCACCCGTCAGGTGGGTCTTGCATGACAAGCAATAACCTGTAGCCAGAGGAACTATTGTATCTCACCACTCTCAGTTAGCTCTCGCATGGTCACACCTGAGCAAAGGGACTGTGGGTTTTTTTCACAAAGTAAAGCATGTTTTGGTTTTTTGAACTGGATTTAACTTGTGACTATTTCTACAGCAGACATTGTTTCAATGAAAAGGTCGGAACATAAAAGTGTTTAGTGATTTGGGTGACCAGGCTCTTAAAGTCAAAGGGACCATTGTGTAACCAGGCTTTATCAGCAAAATAAAACACCCAGAGTAGAGGTTCATGGGGTGGACTTGTATTTTCACCTGTGTGAGACCGTAGTTAGTTATTATAGGTGAATAAGGCGTACTATGCAGCAATTCTCACTTACTCTTTAATAATACATGCAGGGCAGAATTAGGCCATTATCCACTCATGATGAAAACACAAAAAAGAGAAATTACATTTTGGACACATCTAAAACTTAGTGAACAACACTTGTATCATTACCAAGCCCTGCAGTGCCAAGAGACCGGCAGACCAGCAGGTCCTGCTGCTGAGCCCACAAACCTGCTCCACCAACACACCAGCATTTAGTGAGGGACAGTGAAAGACAGTGAGAGACAGTGAAGGACAGTGAACGACAGTGAGGGACAGTGAGAGACACTGAGAGACAGTAAGGGACATGGAGAGAAAATGAGAGACAGTGAGAGACAGTGAGGGACAGTGAGGGACACTGGGGGACAGTGAAGGACAGTGCGAGACAGTGAGAGACAGTGGGGGACAGTGGGGGACAGTGAGAGAGTGGCAGTTGCCTGCACCTTGTTATTGTTGTTAGTTCTGCTTTGTTTCCGCTTTGTATTGTTCAAACCAACGTTTAACTTGTAGGACTTTATGTTTTAGTTTATTCTATTGATTTGAATACTTTTCTACATTCAAATATGCTTTGGCAACATGTACAGTGTTGTACATGTAGTACAACGTCATGCCGATAAAACCATTTGAATCTAATTGAGAGAGAGAGACAGTAACTTATGTAAATAGTTGGTAGATAATAAACTCAGATGAGTCTGTATTTAAAACGGATTGAAGTCTTTTACGAGGACACCAACAAGTTCTGTTGGTGTTTTCAACAGCTGTCGTCACACATTCTGCTGAGAGTCACCAGTTAACACGTCACTAGTTAAACAGAAACACCGGTGGCTTCTATGGCTGCAAGCTATTACAGATGTTGACTACCACTCTCCATTTTAAAAGTGAATAAAGTCCAACCTCTGAGTCTCTGTCCTGGTGTTTGATGTTTTCCACCAGATACATGTTGATACCTGCACACTAGCTAATGTGTTCTAGAATTCTGGAAAGGCTGTGTGTTTAGGTACAGTCACCATCTTTGCTGGTTAATGCTCTTATGTAGCTCGACAAGCTGTTTCACTCAGCCGTACTTCCATTGCTGAACTGTGTGCGCACACTTATATACTGTAAGTCATCGTTGTTTTCAAACTGGAAAAATGGTCCATTCATTGTTTTTAAGGAAAATCTTTCCTTCGCTTTGCCAACTGTGATAGCTGGACACATACGACTGTGCTCTGTTCTGTCCTGTGCAGGAGTTCAGAACAACCTGACACTCGGCTCTCCCTCCATGAACGATGGACCATCTGCTAGCAGCACTGGTGAATCTCCTCTTGTCATGTCGCAGCCCACTGGGATTTCACATCCTGATGCTTCGGCACTGACAGAAGATAACTGTGTTGATTTTCTCTCTGTCTCAGGTCCTGTGTATGGTGTTCAGAATAACCTGGCCAGTACCGGTTCTATGGTCCTCTCTCCAACTGGAACCAACAGACAAATAGGTGAAGCAGTGACGTTAAGAACAAAAACGTATCCATTGATGTCCTGTCAATCTTTTCCTACTGCAACAACATTAAAAGGGAAAAGCTCAGATGATCTTTTTGAGAGGTGCCAATATTGAACCCGTCAGTTTCAGTGAGGAAACACTACAGTTAATGTGTGAAGAGGCCGTCATGAATCACATCTAAACGAGCGTGCCTGTCTCCTCACAGTTTATGGCGTGCAGAAAGATGTGTCTGGCACTGGAATCAGCACCACTACAGGTGAGGTGTTGATAGATTTGATTGTGAAACAGAGTGAGATTACCCACTTCTGTCAGACTGCGCAGGCCCTTATACGACACACATCATTTGGTGCTGAGGCCCGCCACAGTGACTGTATCTCCGCACATGTAATTCAAAATGTCTTAATGACGAGGACATTATAGTAGCTTCTAACGGTGTTGTCTGTGTCCCACAGTGAGACCCAGCAGTCCCGTTAATGACGACGCCTCAGGCAAAGACTTCAAGTTTGTGCTGATAGAGAAGGAGAATGTTCCCGTCAAGAAGGAGACAGAGCGGCTGGTGATGACCAAAGACACAGGGAAGCAGTTCATGCCTGCACCAGCTCGGGCTTCTGGTAATACTAAATTGCTACCAAGTACTACTGCTTGTACTACTAACCCTGATATACTGACCCCACTGCCTTTGACTGCTTTCACTGTTGCGGAGATTTTAAAGTCACCAAAGATGTGTTCTTTGTATGATCAGTGTTGCTGTAACTGTTCTGTCTTGTAGCTACCTACTCTGGGGACTCCCTAAAGAGAGAGAAGCAGAGGCTGTCATCCAGCAGACTGGATGGAGGACCAGATGCTAAATGTAGACCGATATACAACTAAACGTTATGGGCTTTTGGATTCATCACATACCTCCTATTTCTTGTTCGGTGTGCAATTATTTGCTGTTTCTTTTTTTTTTCTTTTTAAAGTTTCAACCCTAAAAGTTGCAACAAAAGACAAAGCCACCTATGCAGGTATTGTATTTGATCCCATTTTTACTTTTTCCCTTTAACTATAATCTGTTGTACACACAGGTTTACAGTCACATCCTGCCTGAACTCCACCAAAAACTAGATTCACAGCAGAATTGCTAAAATAGGTGTTAAAAGAACAAGTAATAAGAATTTGAAAGTGTCAAGTCAAAGATTTTCTTGTGAATAAATGTCTATTAAGTGTCTACCTATCGCCGTAGGAGCTAAACGTTTTTTTGTTTCTCAGAGATCGGCAATGATGAGTCAGGCTTTAGCTTCTGCTCCTGCTGCAGCTGGTGGAAGTGGCTGCTCGGCCTCCTCCTCAGCCTGCTCCTCCTCCTCGGCGTCCTCTTTGGACTCATCGCTTTGGGCAAGACATGCATTCTCTAGCAGCATGTTATTTACCTTAACAGGGCTCACTGAAGGTCATCTGCACGAGCCCATCACCTTCTCTCTGGCCTTACAGGTGAAGAGGTGAAACGGCTCAGGAACCGCGTCGATGCTCTCGAAGCCATCACTGGCACTGCGTCGGCCAGGTCCAGCCGACTGTCGGCCTCCTCTGGCATCAACATCATCGACCCGCTGGACTCGTCATACATGGGCAGCAGTTCTTCCGGGGCCACCCTGACCCGCTCTGACAACGGAATCAACCTGGGGGCTGCTGGGCCTGGTGGAGGTGCAGGAAGTGGACCGGGACAGGACAGCGCTGCCCTGCAGAGAGCCGTTCAGCAGCTGGTCAGGGCCGAACTCCGCTCGGATGTGGTAAGAGGTACGGAGATATAACACACGGATGAGTTATCTTCACATAAGCTCATGAATCAACACATTCGTCAATAGATAAACTTCCTCAACGCTTACATTTCATTGATCCTAACTTGTTTCCACCACCAGATACACTTACATACTCACTAAAAGGGGAGAGAGGAGATGCAGGACCTAAAGGCATGTTTGCACAAATCATTAAATCATTTGGAAATTGATATTGTCCTCGATATCCTATTTAAGGCTGGCTGTTTCTTTACAGGTGATCTAGGGCTGCTAGGACAAAAAGGTGAGGATCAGTCCTGCATATGTATTGAAAATGTTGTGAATATCAAACCTCAGCAGTGTGTGATAAGCAGAAAGCTGTGTAACGGCTATGAATCGCTCTTTTGCAGGAGACGGCGGATTTCCTGGCCTGCCAGGTGAGAGTAAGAACAAATGTGTTGTAGCTGTTTCCTTCCCACAGAGGTGACCAACTCACTGCCGGTTCTGCCCTCGTTTATCTTATTTCTTTAGGCCCCTCTGGGCAGACGGGACACCCAGGATTGGATGGACCGAGAGGACCAAAGGGTAGTGAAGGTAGTGTTAAATTTAAATCATCATCTTTGTTCTTTGAGGACGAGCCGACACTGGGAGTAAGAAAAGTGAGAGTAAGCGAGTCTCTCCTCCTTTGTGACCAGGTGAACCAGGTTCCGAGGGACCACCAGGTCAGCGAGGCCGGGACGGGCCGATGGGCCCCCGTGGAGAAGCCGGACCACCAGGCTTTGGAGAGAAAGGAGACAAAGGTAGAAGATGTTCACGTCACCCACGTTGAATCATGGAAAGTTATTCATTGATTGTGTTCAGTCTTTGAGAATGAAACCTGGTTTTGACAGGATCTCAAGGCGAGGAAGGGCGTTCAGGTCCTGCTGGTCCTGTGGGGCCGAAAGGTAAGGTCAAAGGTCATGGTGGAGTTATAGGCCAGCTGTGGTCCAATCTAAAAGACCATACCAGTGTTTTTGCATGTTTTAGGCCATGTACAAATAACTTTATCTTTTTAAATCACTAAGGAAAATGACATGTAAAGTCACTTTGTTAACAGATGCTAAAATCAGTGGCCACTGTGATTTCCGTGTTTGATTTAGGTGCCATGGGAGAGCACGGTACCTCAGGAAGCCCCGGTAAAGACTCACGAATTACTGTTTTTGTCTGTTATTTCCTATTGATTGATTCATTGCAGTCATGTGTTAAATCTGTAATCATGTGTTTGCAGGCGCTCCAGGTCCAAAGGGTTTCCAGGGTGAAGCGGGAGCACCAGGAGAAAAAGGTGCCTTTTAGGGTTTATATTCTTTTCACATTTCACACAAACAAAAAACTACAAAAGTAATATGATCTCTCAAAAAACAATCAGTGCTTCAAGTCAAAAATATTCCTTCAGTTTAATATATCCACTATTGCTAGTTTTCTAAGTTTAAACATTAAACATGGGACATTTGAAGGAAAAGTGTATTTTCCCAGTTTCCCAGTCGGGTCACATCCACTTTGTCACTCCTGAGTATCTCAGTTTGAGTTCAGACCAACTTTCTGAGAGCTTCATTTTGAATGCAGGTGATCGAGGAACACCAGGGCTGACAGGAACCAAAGGAGAACATGGAGAGAGGGGACCACGTGGACCAGCAGGTGTGTTATACAATAATAATGTTATTTAGACAGTCTGACAAACCTTCGAAGAAGTTGTTATTGGTTAGAAAAAGGTTTTAGATTTTGGCGTTTCTCATGGTTTAAGGTGAACCTGGACAAACTGGACCACAAGGACCTGCTGGACCAAAGGGATCTAAAGGAATTGCAGGTGAGGAAAGAGCTTCACAAAAGTACTAAAATATATGACCAAGATGTGTGGATTAAAGAGGGATGTAATGAGAACTGCATCAAACCTCATCACCCCGGAGTTTGTTCTGTAGGAGCCAACATTCTGACATGGCTGCCAGAGAAACATCCACAATTATTTAGAGTTGTTGTTGTTAAGGTAAAGACTGCTCTGTAATCCAGAGTCTGTATGCAGGTGACACAGGTTCAATGGGAATTCCTGGAGTGAGGGGACAGCCTGGACTTCCTGGAGATGTTGGTCCCCCAGGTATGGCTACTACCACCACACAGCAGCACGGCAGTATGCACAGTTGTCATGCAGGCATGCCAGCAAGGCTGTGCGGCTGCCAGACACTGCTGCTAACGTCAGCTTGCTGACTAACAATGAAAGACAAATTTAGTGTGTAACTGTGCGAACGCTTTGTCCTTGGCACTAAACACACAGCTGAGGGTGAGGGCACAGTCATTGATGATGGTGCTAGAGGAAAAGTCGGGGAATCTCTAAAGTTAATATAATTCATCCTCTGGGGACCATGCATTCATGTACAAAATGAATGATTTTACTTCTAAATATGTGTTTATGAGAACTACTGTAGAAAAAGCATTGATTCTAGTTGTGTAAATGGTAGTTCACATTTCATGCCAAAGTTCCCCAAAACTATTGATACCCTGTATGCCTGTATATAGTGTATAACGGAGAGTTTGATCATGTAATCAAACATAACTGTGTCTTTCAGGTGAACCAGGATCTCCTGGTAAAGTCATCGCTCCAAGTAAGAACCTTGACAAAGCAATAGTTGCTCCAATTAGACAACTGAACACAAAGTCTAAAATGTAAATGGCGTTTGACTCTTGTTTTTTGTTTCTAGGTGGCTCCAATACTGTGGCAATCCCCGGACCACCAGGGCCTGCTGGGCCTCAAGGTCCTACTGGAACCCATGGTCTGTCTGGACCCGTTGGCCCCCCTGGTGTCCCAGGACAACCTGGTAAACCCAAACTCTTGACCCGTGTTAAGCATCTGGAATGAGTCCGAAATGGACTGAAGGACATGAGGATTATTGACATATATTGAACAGACTGGTTTTTTCTGTAATGGTACATTGATATCATAACGTAGGATCTAAGGGAGACCGAGGAGAGAAGGGAGAAAAGGGAGAGCAAGGAAAACCTGGTGAGCCTGGTATCATGAGTTCAGAAACTGCCAGTACCACCGGAACCGACAGTGAGTACATCTCTATTTCTATAATTCCTCACGTTGGCAACATTTGGTGGTGGTATCAAGAATAACCCCCCCTACCCCTGCTATGCTTTCAATCTAAACAGGACTTTCTTCAGCGGTTAGACTGCCTGGCCCACCAGGGCCTCCTGGAGCACCTGGTCCTCAAGGCGCTCCTGGTATGTCCAAAGCTATTTGTAACATTTTTAGGGCATTTTCAAATAATTGGATTAAGTGCTTAGATCAAACTAATAATCATGCGAATGCTGCTGTAACTCTTGTTTAGGTGGAATTAAACAAGGTCCTCCAGGACGCAGAGGTCCTTCAGGAGAGCCAGGTAAACAAGTATCTTGCATTACACAGATATATAAAAATAGATACCTAGATCGTCAGCATGCGGGATGATTTGAGCAGTGTCAGAATAAAAAGTGAAATGTTTTCTGTTGTCCTCACAGGAGTTGGTTCACCTGGACCTCGAGGAGAGAGAGGGGAACCTGGCAGCTTTGTGCCAACCTCAGGTTGGTGAAAGAAATCTTATTTAAGACAAATGAATCAAGAAACCTGTCATATTCAGCTTCATTCAGCTTCTACTGTCTGTGCTTGGCGTCTTTCATGTGTTCTTCCCTGGTTTGCCTCAGAAACCTTTTTTGCTGGACCACCAGGACCCCCAGGCCCGCAGGGTTCAGCAGGTAGGTTTGACAAATCAGATACTTCTGACAACAAAAGTCTCTTTCAAAATAGTTCAGAGGACTGTATGTATAACGGATTCATGTATAGAAAGCTGTAAAAGGTGAATGTGGCAGCTCACGGGTCAAGATGAATTAGGAATCTTCGTTAGAATTGTTCTGGTTGACAGAAATGTTCTCTCATCTTATCATTCATTGTCCTTAGGCAGCCGAGGACCACAGGGGTACCAAGGTGAGAAGATTGAAAGCCATGACATACATCATGGTTTAGAAAATACAAATGTTTAAAAGAAACACATCTTAATGTAATGATAATTGTTTCAGGTGAACCAGGTCAACCAGGTCTTCCAGGGAGTCCAGGGGAACCGGGTTTCGGTATGTGAACAACTTTTAGATAAGATGGATTTTTAATGGATAATATGAGGAGTCTTGCTTGATGTAAGAATTATTTTGTTGTGGTTTTTGTTAAGGGCAGAATTACAAACATAAACAACACAATGTGACCATATGAGGGCCAATCATTTACACAGAAAGTACAAAATGAATACATGGTTTAAAAGCAGGCCTAGGACATGAGTTTTTAGTCAAATGCCAGTCTAAACAGGTGTGTGAGCTGATTCTGGAATGAGTTCACAGAATCTGAGAAACGTAAGGGTGCAGGCAGAGCATTCCACAACCTCAGTGCTACTGCCTCAAAAGCTCGGTCACCACGGGTCTTAAGGCGAGTGCGTGGGACAGACAGATAGTTTAACACGTTTGACCTGAGAGCCTGTGAATAAGGGTGAAGTAATTCAGTCACATATGTAGGAGTCTGACCGTGTAGTGCTCCTGTAAGTGAGAGTGAGAATTTTGAAGTGGATCCTAAAAGTTACAGGGAGCCAGTGGAGAGATCGGAGTACGGGGGTGATGTGAGAGCGTCGACTTGTCCTAGTGAGTAATCTGGCGGCAGTGTTTTGGATGACCTGCAAACAGTTGAGAGCAGATACACTGAGTGACGAGAAAAGTGTGATGCAGTAGTCGATGTGTGAAGAGATGAAGATCATCTCTAGTTCAGCTGTTGATACCACAGATCTCAGTTACTGATATTTCTTAGGTGGAAGAAACATGATCTGGACGGCTGCTTAACGTGGGGGTCAAACGACATGGATCGATCAAAAGTAACCCCTAGGATTGTAATATTTGTTACTATTTTCCAGAGCTTTCTTCCACATCTTGTAGCCTTCATCTTTAGGCGGAGTTCAGTTGTTATGGAGGGATTTCAAGAGTCAATGATGAACCTCCAAGCTCTTTTACCAGATGTTCCATCAGTGTTTTGGTTTTCATGTCAGGTTTCCCAGGTCAGCCTGGACCCAGGGGGCCTCAGGGTCCACCAGGCCCAGAGGGGCCACAAGGACCTAAAGGTAAACTCCAATGTCAGTCCAATGGTCTGATCCTCTCTTTCATACTTGTTACAAATTATGTTATCAAATCATAACTCAATATAAGCAGTCTTTAAGCTGACAAGAACTGGACCTGCAGTTCAAGATAAGACAGTTAGAGACCGAGGCAAAGGACCGAGAAGAGACGACGGAGCTAGAAACAGATCGGTCGGTTCAAAAAGTACAACATAGAGGAACAGAAGAGGCTGTGTCTTGTGTCAGGGTGTTGAGAGGAAGTGTAGGCAGAGTAACGAGCCACCTATGTAGACTCACAGCTTCACACAGGTGCCCTCCATCAACAGTCAGGGAGCTGCACCTAGAACACAAAGACATAGAACAGACACATGCACAAGCAAAACAACAGAACCCACAATGACATGTAACACTGTTCCTTGCAGGTGACGCAGTCCCCGGGGTCTCCAATGGTAAGGCCATCCTAAATATCATATCAAATCATATCATGAAGATAATCTTCACCATCGTTGTGCCTTGAGAACAAGCAGCAACAATGGTTGACAAATAACACACCTGTCAATCATGCCGACATGCTCCAAAAGATTGTTTTTAAATATTCATTTGTTGGGATCTGGCAGGAGCAGGTTTGGTTCGAAGCAAGTATAAAAATATCAATATGAATGAATATCAATAGGATTATTAACATATATTAACGATAACGGGATCAGATAACGGAGAAAAAAACCTTCCACTGCATTGACTCCGACAATGTTGAAACAAAGAGTGCAATGCTACATTGGTGGATTATCTTTTGGTGGACTAATGAATAAAAATGTGTCTCCTCGTAGAAGACTTGCATTAACTTAGCATTTAAAAAGGGACGGTGGACTTGTTCTTCTGTTTCTGGGAGGAAATGCAGCTTAAAGTATCTCTCTGTTGGCCTCACCACTCAGCACTCACCACTGGGTCAAATGGCTCCGCTTATAATTTAGCAGTATTGATAATTGTAGGTATTTAATCTTTGATATTTCAGTCTTTTTTTCTACATGACATAATTTGTGGTGTCATACCAGGTGGCTCATTCAGTCCTGGATCCCCAGGTGCACCTGGACCACCTGGACAACCTGGAAGAAATGGAAGAGATGGAAGTGGATCCGGATCAACTGATGTGGGCCAGCACATAGCAGAGTACCTTCAGAGTAAGCCATGCATTTATTTACTTTGGTTCATGTACTGTTACTCTGTGAGCAAAAGAATGACACAACATTGTCTCGACACGCAGGTGATAGCATCAGGCAGTATCTGGTTGGACCTCCTGGTCCTCCAGGGGCCCCGGGGACTGCAGGGGACAGGCCGGTGGAGGATTTGGCCAACCAAGTTATCGCCTACATCCAGACTAATGATCAATTACGTAATAAAGTGAATGAATGAATTATTACACAGGAGGTCTGTATGTAACACCTACGGTAGTGAAAACTTTCACCTGTCCAGGTTCAGGTAGCAGATATGATGGGACTCCTGGCCCTCCTGGTCCTCCAGGTTCACCTGGCACAATCTCTGTCAATGACGTTATCAACTTGTTACAACGTAAGTCTCATTTAGAGGTCTTTAAAGTCCCCATATTTTTTGCAGAACCGAACATTTGAATTGAGGTTTGTTGGTTTGATACACTGCTCTTAGAGCATAGCACGTGAGACTGTTTGTCAAAGTGTGTCGATTATTTGTGTCCAGGAGAGGACGTGAGGAGATACGTGGCTGGAACTCCTGGTCCACCAGGACCTCCTGGAGCTCCAGGTCTCGGCAGCTACAGAGTCAACCCCCAGGAGGTGGCTGAACGTGTCCTGACCCTCATGAATGGTGAGTGTTACAGATGGACCTACAGGTTACCATGAGAGAACATGACAGTGATTGACCGTGAGTCCTGTCTGTCACCAGAGAGGGGGGCGGTAGGTGTCCCTGGACCCCCTGGACCCCCTGGGCCTCCTGGAAACTTGTTATCAAGTAAGAAAGACAATAAGAACACAGACAGTTCATCCTGTTTTTGTTCACGTAATGTCTATTCAAGTAATTGGATCCAGTAGCATTCTTAAGCCAATGATCAGTTTCATTGTTCAACTAGGTGGGTATCAAGCAGGTCCTCAGGGGCCTCCTGGTTTCCCCGGTATGCCTGGTCCACAAGGTCCAGCTGGACCAGCAGGTTCACCTGGCCCACCAGGATTTGGGAACTACATCAGTTCAGACATTCGTGACTACCTGCAAAGTGAGTCTGTCTAAAAACATTAGCTCCATCAGTCCATGAGGAGTTCATCTGACAAAATATACAAGTATAGATGGTATAAAATGATGATTTAACTTAGTATAAGATACATTATGTCTTCCTCCACATCTGTTCCATTGTTCCAAAGGTGTGGCCTTCAAAGACCAACCAGGCCCCTCTAGACCCAAGGGCACCCCTGGTCAAACCCACGGCCTGGTTTCCTATGCTGAGCATGTAAACAGAGAGACACTGAAAGCACAAAAACAATATGTCAAGAGTGAGTTTACTTCACCGATTTCGGTAGAACGTTACTTTGCTTTACAGCTAGTGTAGGACTTGTGACTGAGCGTGAGTCCTCGACTTGTTCAAGCACATGGGTAGGGTTTAACAAAAACTACTTGTCATGTGTTTTCTGCTATACTTAGCATATAGGTCCAAAAGTATTGCATAACACGGCTTTTGGTTATCAACTATACAAAAATATTTCTTTGAGCATTTAATTAAGGCACAATGTCAACATAGACCTCCACAAAATGTCAATTCATAAATCAGTCTGGTTTATTGACCCAATAACTAAGCAATTATTTCTTGTATGTTGTATTATCTCCCTCCTCCGCGAATCGCCACCTTAACGTGGTGGAGGAGTTTGAGTGGCTCAGTGATCCTGGGAGCTATGTTGTCCGGGGCATTAGCCCCTGGTAGGGTCTCCCAAGGCAAACAGGTCTCAGGGGAGGGGAGCTCACCGGCGAGCGTCTGGTGGCCGGGCCTTCGCCCATGGGGCCCGGTCGGGCTCAGACCGAATAAACAGCATGGAGCAGCCACCCTGTGGACCCACCACCCGCAGGGATAAGCATCGGGGTCGGGTGCAATGCAGACCGTCAGGCGGGATAGGCGGGAGGCCTGGGCGAGCCGATCGCCGGCAGCATAGTCTAGCTCTAGGGACGTGGAACGTCACCTCGCTAGCGGGGAAAGAGCCAGAGCTGGTGCAGGAGGTGGAGCGGTACCAGCTAGATATAGTTGGACTCACCTCCACACACAGCGCTGGCTCTGGAACCAAGCTCCTGGAGAGGGGTTGGACTTTGTCCTTTTCCGTAGTTGCCCAGGGTGAGAGGCAACTCCAACACAGCGGCGCTCAGCCGGGGGCTCGTGAGTATCCCCACTCCCGCCCGGCTGAGCACCGCTGTGTTGGAGTTCTCCCCGGAGAACAAGAGGGTCGCCTCCATGCGCCTACGGGTTGCGGGGACTGTGGTTTGTGCTTATGCACCAAAACAGCAGTTCAGAGTATCCGGCCTTCTTGGAGTCGGTGGGAGGGGTCCTGGAAAGGGCACCGCCTACCAACTCCATAGTTCTCCTGGGGGACTTCAACGCTCACGTGGGCAATGACGGAGAAACCTGGCGGGGGGTGATTGGGAGGAACGGCTTGCCCGATCTGAACCCGAATGGTGTTTTGTTATTGGACTTCTGTGCGTGCCATGGTTTGGCCATAACGAACACCATGTTCGAACATAAGGTGGCTCATAAGTGTACCTGGTACCAGAACACCTTAGGCCGGAGATCAATGATCGACTTTGTAATCGTATCATTTGATTTGCGGCCGTATGTCTTGGACACTCGGGTGAAGAGAGGAGCAGAGCTGTCAACTGATCACCACCTGGTGGTGAGTTGGATCAGATGGCAGGGGAACCAGTTGGAAAGACCGGCAAGCCCAAACGTGTAGTGAGGGTGAACTGGGAACATCTGGCGGAGGACCCTGTCCGGGAGGTCTTTAATTTCCACCTCCGGAAGAACTTCTCACACATCCCGAGGGAGGTTGGGGACATGGAATCCGAATGGACCATGTTCAAAGCCTCTATTGTGGACGCGGCCGCTAGGAGCTGTGGCCAGAAGGTCATCGGTGCCTGTCGTGGCGGCAACCCGAGAACCCGGTGGTGGACACCGGAGGTGAGGGAAGCCGTCAAGCTGAAGAAGGAGACCTTCAAGGCCTGGTTGGCCCAGGGGTCTCCCGAAGCAGCTGACAGGTACCGGCAGGCCAGAAGGGCTGCAGCTGCGGTGGTCGCGAATGCTAAAACTCGGGCATGGGAGGAGTTCGGGGAGGCCATGGAGAAGGACTTTCTATTGGCCTCAAGGAGGTGCTGGCAAACCATCCGACGACTCAGGAAGGGAAAGCAGGGCTTACCCCAGGCTGTTCTCACCAGGGGGGGGGAACTGCTGACCAGGACAGGGGACATCGTCGGGCGGTGGAAAGAGCACTTTGAGGAACTCCTAAACCCGACCAACATGTCCTCTGCAGAGGAGGCAGCGCCTGAAGATCTAGGGGGAGGCTCACCCATATCCCTGGCAGAGGCCGCTGAGGTAGTCAAAAAGCTCCTCGGTGGCAAGGCGCCGGGGGTGGATGAGATCCGCCCTGAGATGCTGAAAGCGCTGGACATAGTTGGGCTGTCCTGGCTGACACACCTCTTCAATGTCGCATGGGGTTCGGGATCAGTGCCCATGGACCGGCAGACCGGGGTGGTGGTTCCCATTTTCAAAAAGGGGGACCGGAGAGTGTGCTCGAATTACCGGGGTATCACACTACTCAGCCTCCCGGGGAAGGCTTATGCCAGGGTGCTGGAAAGGAGGCTCCGACCGTTTGTCGAACCTCAGATTCAAGAGGAGCAATGCGGATTCCGTCCCGGCCGTGGAACAGTGGACCAGCTCTTTACCCTCGCAAGACTACTGGAGGGGTTCTGGGAGTTTGCCCAACCAGTCTACATGTGCTTTGTGGACTTGGAGAAGGCTTTTGACCGGGTCCCTCGGGGGTTCGTGTGGGGGGTGCTGCGGGAGTATGGGGTGCCGGACCCATTACAACGGGCGATCCGGTCTCTGTATGACTGCAGTAGGAGCTGTGTCCGCATTCTCGGCAATAAGTCAGACACGTTCCCGGTGGGTGTTGGCCTCCGCCAGTGCTGCCCCTTGTCTCCGGTCCTGTTCGTGACTTTCACAGACAGGATATCTAGGCGCAGTTGGGGGGTGGAGAACGTCAGGTTCGGGGGTCTCGGGATCGCCTCTCTGCTGTTTGCAGATGATGTGGTCCTGTTAGCCTCCTCGGATCGTGACCTCCAGCATTCACTGGGGCAGTTTGCAGCCCAGTGTGAAGCAGCGGGGATGAGAGTTAGCACCTCCAAAGCTGAGGCCATGGTGCTCTGCCGGAAACCGGTGGATTGCTCCCTCCAGGTGGGGACAGAGTGCCTACCTCAAGCGAAGGAGTTCAAGTATCTCGGGGTCTTGTTCACGAGTGAGGGTAAGATGGAGCGGGAGATCGACAGACGGATCGGTGCGGCTGCAGCAGTAAAGCAAGCACTGCACCGGACCGTCTTGGTGAAGAGGGAGCTGAGCCGGAAGGCAAAGCTCTCAATTTACCACTCGGTCTAAGTTCCTACCCTCACCTATGGTCATGAACTCTGGGTCGTGACCGAAAGGACAAGGTCGCGGCTACAAGCGGCCAAAATGAGCTTCCTCCGTAGGGTGGCCGGGCTCAGCCTTAGAGATAGGGTAAGGAGCTCTGTCATCAGGAGGGAGCTTGGAGTCGAGCCGCTACTCCTTTGCGTCGAAAGGAGTCAGCTGAGGTGGTTCGGGCATCTAATTAGGATGCCTCCCGGACGCCTCCCACTGGAGGTTTTCCAGGCACGTCCAACTGGGAAGAGACCCCGGGGAAGACCCAGAACACGCTGGAGGGATTACATCTCGCAGCTGGCCTGGGAACGCCTCGGGATCCCCCAGAATGAGCTGGAACATGTTGCCGGTGAGAGGGAGGTCTGGGTCAGCCTGCTTGGCCTGTTGCCACCGCGACCCGACCCCGGATAAGCGGAGGAAAATGGATGGATGGATGATGTATTATCTCCAGGTGACGGTGTGAGTGAAGCTATGTTTGGTCTTCCTGGGACGCCAGGCCCTCCAGGACCCCCAGGACACAAGGGAGAGGCAGGTGTAACTAGCGCCAGAGACCGCAACCTGGATACTGGAGACTACGCCAATATGGCTGTCAGAGTAACCGATTACATCAAATGTAGGTGATCTAGAGGACGTTTTGTTGTGAACGTTATCACATGACAAGTGTTTTCTCTCTGAACCTTGCTGTCATTATTATATTACTAGTGTATTGCCCATTCGGGGCGTGGCTGCCTACCCGGTCGGAATTGCTTGGTCCCTGGAAGTGCTGATTGCAGCGTTATCGGGAACGTTATCGGGAGCGTTATCATGACTCATGAGTTTGGTTGTAATGTTAGTATGTCCAGTATTCAGCAGCAAAAGTAAACTCCTGTCAATCAGCCTGCTGTGGACAACATGCTCCTCCCCTGATGCTATACAGAATGCTGTCTGCTTGTTTTTTAAAGGTTTATTAATATTCAATGTGTCACGTGTCCAAATTGCACCAACTTCAGCACGGCCCGTCCTTTGGTTCCCAGCAATACACCTGAGAAGTGTGAAGTAGACCGGATGAACGGATCTTGAGTTATGCGAAGGGGACACACACACACACACACACACACACACACACACACACACACACACAAACACAGGGCCATACTCACCATTGAGCACACAGAAGTACAGGCATTGGTATTTTCTGACTGACATGAAAATGAATTTGGTTCGGAAATTACATCGTACAACACCTACTTGCTCATCCCTCGCCAGTGTATATCGTGTAGGCTTCACCCTCTAAGATCGCTTGCTATTGGTTTATCCCCGCGCGCATGCACAGTCGTGAAGTTTTTGTTGCGCCCTTGTGCCCTGGACAAGCCTCTTACATCTGCACTTGTAACATTGAACAAGTGTGCAACCATAGTTCTGCTTCCAGAGATTCCTTGCTGTATTGTTAGATATTGCTACTTACCCTCCTCCTTCCCTCCACTGAACTCTTCTGTCCTCCACATGCAGCCCACGGTCTGCTCCGAGATGTTGTGAGGGACTCTGAACGTCTAGTGCAGGGACCTCCAGGACCTCCTGGACCTCCTGGAATGCCTGGACACAACCAATGGGTTGGTTCTCGTGAAAACATTGTGGATGTGGTGGAATACATCAAATGTAAGTGGATAGGAGCTATATGGGCTTTTATAATTGAAGGTCATTTCTAGCACAGGGTCTGTTACAGATCTGGTGGAATATATCAGATGTAAAAAAAAAAAAATAAAAATTCAAAGAGGAATCACAGTCACTACTAAACCGTTGCTGCTATTGTTTGGAGCAAACTGCAGCCTACAGGATACGACCAAAAGAAGTGTACCCATCAAGACTTCTTATCATCAAAACTCTAATGCCCGAACGCCAAAGGGTGTGATCTCATGAAAAACTCCATGCTTGTGCATATACGTTTGTGTATCTGGAGAGCCTACCAACCCACAAACTGGTAAAGAAGTCCAACCGGTCAGTTTGTGGTGGGCTGCCGGCATCGGAAATCATGTGATTCAACAAGCCAATCAGATTAAGCTCCCCTTCCTGTGTCACAGGCAGGCTCATTAGCATATAGACATGTGTCCTTTCAAATATATGTTCTGGGGGTTGATTGAAACCAGTGGTACAGAGAACTTTCCCCTGCTTGTCCTTTGCAGCCCGCGGTCTTCTGCACGACATCGTGAGCGAATACAACAGTCGTGTTTTCCAAGGACCTCCGGGACCGCCTGGCCCCGCAGGTCCCCCTGGATACAGCCAGGGGTTTGGTTCCCATGGAAACACCACAAATCTGTTGGAATACATCAAATGTGAGCCACTGTACTATGACGTTACAGATCTCCAATCCAACTCTACAATAAAGCACGAGAGGTAGAAGTACTGGTTGACACTTCTCCTGACCTTGTCTCCTTTTCTCCAGCTCACGGTCTGCTGCGCGATTTTGATCGGAACCACAATGAACGGGCCATCCAAGGGCCGCCGGGACCACCTGGCCCCCCAGGTCACCCTGGATACAGCCGACTGATTGGTTCCCACGCAAATGTCACTGATTTAGTGGAATATGTCAAAAGTAAAAGATGCTACAAAGAAGAAGGATGAAGAAGCTGAGAGATGTGACAATTAGGATTTCTGATATCTGAATTTGTCCTCCGCAGCACACGGAGCCATTGTAGGGTCGCCGGGGAGACCAGGACACAAAGGGGACCTGGGATACCCGGGGCCAAAAGGAGAGAGAGGTAGATCTAAAAGATCCTGTTGGGAGTTTGGAATGAGAAATCTAGAGGATTGTACTGTAAATAGTTGATCACACAGTGGTTACAGTGCTATAGTGTTCCACGCACTATTTGATCATGCTGTAGACTTTTTTTCAGTTAATTCAGACTGCGTGGCGGCTGGTGGAACATGTTCTAGGTAGGGCTGTGCCACATCCAATCAATTTCAGCAAACATCCCTGTATGATTTAATGCAAAAAAAATTACAGTATCAAACACGCATTACTACTTTGCAGCTAAATATTTAACATTTATTCCAACATGAAATAAAGCAGTAAATAACACTTTCAAAAACACATCAGGACATTATTTTTGTCACCCTCACAGGGAATTCAGTATAATATAATATATATATCATATAATAATGTTGAGTATAATATAATATATATATCATATAATAAAATATATGTCATATAATAATGTTCAGTATAATATAAAACACATACATATATAATCCAATAGGAGGTAAAGATCAGGAGAAGTAAACATGAAGTGCAACTAGGAATAATGGTGTTAAATTAAGCTATGATGAGTTTTCACTGTTATGAAAGTCTCAGTTAAATGTTGATGCCTCCATAACCAAGTTAAGCAGATGAGACTGAGGACAACTATGTAGAAGAAAAGATGTTCACTTTGCCTACAGTATATGGCTGCTTGACAGGCTAGACAGGCTAGAGGACGCGCAGGAGAAGCATATATTTTGCGCAGATACCATATTTTACACATATTACTGGGTGCCTTCCATATTTCAAAAGCACAAATATTGACAATTTGTATAATTTATTATTATTTTATTTTTTTCTGTGGCTAAAGGGGGGGGGGCATAGTGTCCTCTATTGGCCAGCCGCCACTGCTGCGGCCCAATTCCAGTCTGGCCCTTCCACCCTCTCCCTACACACCTGCACTCCTTTTGCAAGTTCATGTGGAGGGTCCACCATATTAAGTAGCATTCCAAACGCAGTTAGTGGGAGTGGGTAATAAAACCCTCAGCGAGTCCACGTCGATGTCGACCTCACTGACCACGTGCAACGCTGCTTTGTGTTCGTCATGGAACACTCTCCGTACAAATGACGTTTGGTGCAACAACCTGTGTAAACATTTACTGTTAAAATGCTCAAACTAAGATAGACATTTGATATTGGGGGGGGGCTAAAACAAGCAGTCTGAAACTGAAAGAATGGATTCCTTGTAAAGAATCCACTCTTCTGAATAATGTTCTGGTCTTTCATGGCTTCTTCTATCATGACAGTTAGTAATAACTATTGGTTGATAATGATTATAAAGTAATCTACTCCGTCTGTGTGGACACAGGTGAACGAGGCCATCCTGGGCTAGAATGAACCAAGGGACAGAAAGGTGATAGAGGTCAGTTGTCAGCTTGATTTGATGGTTGATGATTTTGGCCTGGACTCCTCAGTTCTTCAAACCGTCAACATGTAACAAATGTATAGTAGTTAGATCATCACAGCAGCATCATGACCGATAAGACCCATACAGCACTGACCAGTGGAACTATTGTTCATTTCATGATGACACTTTAACACAAACGTATGAAAATGACTTCCATCAAACCACACTGTATATGCTGCACTTGGATTGAGAGAATCCAGTTTCATAAATGATAGTTACTCTACTATTTAGTAAGAGAAGAGCGATTTGTCGTGCAGTTCAAGCCCTAAAACTTCATCTGCTTCATTAGAAGCAGTTCATCTCTCCAGGGCTGTCTTTAAACAACAGCTGTGTTTGATCTCAGGCTGACAGCATGTTTACATGCTGCTGCTAGTGATGACAGTTTGATTCACCGTGCTCAAACAAGAAGCCAACGATCACAGCAGGTCCCATTAATCCATCTGTGTGATGTGTTTCAGGAGAATTCCCTCTGATGACCAACAGGAGGCGGGACGTCAGTGTCTAAGAGTCACGTCACGGAACAATGGAGAGAAATCCTGTCTTTATGGAGCTAGTGTGCTGTAAAGTAGTGAAACACAGTGGATCTGTTCTTATATCCGCTTTGTGGTTCTGTTTGTTATATTCTTGAATGTCGACTGTGCTGTGAAACCAGGGTTTCTGGGTGGGAGCTGGTTGGAGCCACTGCACTGAGGGCTGACATCTGTATTTTGGGGGTTGAATGAAGAGTAGTCCGTCTCTTATCTTTTTATAGTCGTCTGTATTTTTCATTCAATCGGGTTTGTTTTGTAGACTGTTTGTACAACTTGTCAGATAATTGCACACGTGTAACAAGACTGAACACAACTGTAGTACAGAGAGAAACGTTTATTTACAGCACAATGAACATCAACATTACACAGCTATTCTATTCTATTTTTTTAAATGCATAACGATTTTGATATGAACAGTTTTCAATCAGAATGTCGTCCATTGACTCCAACTGACCGACAGAACGAGCACTTATAGTTCTGAATGTTGCGAACCTCCAATGAGGGAACACGCTGCATTTCATATAAATAGCTACAGAGAAAAGGTGCACAATGGTTCACTTATTGAATACCTTTGACTAGCCAATCATGAAGAAAATGAGATGATGAGATGATCCAGTCAGGTCCACTTCTCCTTTGCTTCTCAACAGCTGCATCAAATATGACGTCATTCACAACACATCAGTCTGAATAAAAGAAATGCCGAGAGCTCATGTTGTGTTTGTTTCTTCCAACACGGATGCAAATCGGTCTCAAACTGTTAGCTTGCTTCACAGTCAGAGAGCAGAACAGGAAGTTGGCCAACTGGCATAAAACCCGGTGTCAGTATATCCATTAGCCAGCAGGACAATGCTAACAGTATTTCAATAAGAAGAAGAAACTCCATGTGAAGTGGAACTGCAGATGTTCACCACAACAGAAACTCCTTCAAATGTTAAATAACATTTGCAACAATCCAACAGTTGCATTCTTCATTGGTCCCTGAACACTGCTCCTACAGATGCATCTTTTTGTGCTTGACAATAATAAAGTGGTGGTACCTAAAAAGATAAAAGCAGACCCACTGATACAGGTACAGAAATGCTCGTTTGTGCTTCCTATGAACAGTGATGCTCTGTCTCTACTGTATGCTGAAGGCCTCACACAGGGAACACTTCTGCTGGAGAAGGTTCCTGAAGCTCGCTGTGAGATCATGCATCATCTCCAGCTCTACTCACCCCAACCTACAACGTCTACCACAGAGATAAAGGACGCCATTAAATATACTGGATCAAGAGTGATCTTAAAAAAATCAACATTAAGCCTTCAGCAGAAATATACATTCTATGTCATCATCAATTAAAAATGATAAGGTTGCTGTTTAATATTTAACTAAATGAAATCAACAGTTACTTCAAGTTGTATAAAAATGCTTTTTTATTTTTTCATGCAAATGTAGGGAAGCCCCGAGAGGCAAGTGACGAAAAAGTCTGATCTCCAGTGTTTATGACAAAAGGTTAATAAAGATAATCTTTCTGTTCATCTGTGGAAAATGGATCACCACAATATCTCTCGTCTTATTTGCTTCTCAGGACTTCCGTACGATGTCTAAAAAAAGAAAACAATTGAGCAGTAAATGATCATAAATTGCTGGAATATTGAACAGATCAAATTCTACAGGCACCGGAGTCTTCATAAAAAACTATTCAATCCCAACAGGAAGGTTGGGCAGACGGCTACTTCACTCCTTCATAACTCTCCTTCAAAATAACCCTAATAGTGTGAAAATATGACAACATGAACAAAATGAGGGCGGAGTCTGCAGACTGAGGAACAAAGTCCAGAAACAGAAATGCTTCTCACAGCCTCCAATAGTTTTCAGAGGACGAGGGCAAGGCAGCTCGGTTGGGTCTGTACTGTCGGTGTGTGTGTGTGTGTGTGTGCTCATCATGTCCATGTGCACTGTGTGCAGGTCTACTAGAAACCTGTGGAGTGGACGCTGGGGATGGGGTAGAACTTGGAGATGCGGCTCTGGCTGGACGGGTTAAGGCACTCGGACTCTCCGCTCATCTTGAAGAACACTTCCTGTTCCTGCAGTTTCCTGGCAAACTCCTCCTCCAGGGCCTGCAGGGTGCAGACAGAAACATGAGGAAAGACTGTTGAATCTGGGTCCTTTACATGCAGTAGTGTAAGTAGTGTATTAGCCTCCTGCGGGTAAGGAGTGGGACAAACAGCCCCAGTACTCTCAGGAGGTTAACAGGGGTGACTTTAAAATAGTGTGTGGATTGTGACTCCTAAAGTAAATCACACTGCTTTACTCGTAGAGCAAACTAGCTAACAGCCAGAACGCCATCCCATAATATGCGGTCAGAGAATGTCATGGACGAGGACACATGGTACTGTGTTTTGGCTGACTCTGATATTTATATCTATAAAGTACACGGATGAAGAAACGCAGCGAAGAGAGGCTGTGGCTGCATGCGTCGTGTAGATGATGCGGTTGACGGGGACACCGGCCATCAGAAACTTGCACGCAATGCATCCTGGTACATGTAGGCACTGCTGGCGGGGCTCAGTGAACAGGAGGACTCCTCACCTGACAACCAGTTCCCCACGACATCACATAGATACTTAGCTGGAGAAACAGCCTCCTTCATAACAATCAAATGCCTCTTCAATAAAAAGGAAACGATCAGGTTTCAATGAAAGTGAACCGATAAACACTGCAGCTGTTGTTTTCTCTGCACGTCTGATGAACAGGTGATCTTTAAAATTCACTCCAGCTGGTTTCACAACTCTCAAAACCACCTCAATCAGCAAAGAAGTCCCAATGGGCCTAAAGACCAGAGTTTGTAACTGATAAGATCTTCTAAGATGAGGTCTGCATTAACTGGAGGAAGGATCAGAAAGTGATTCATCCCATTACTGCAAATATTTCAGTCTGGACCAAAGTGATGGAGCGACCATCACTAGAGCTGCTAGCATGGCTAACATCAAGGTGGACCATGGTCTGAATATGAACAGATGAGTTCACTTTATCCAATGGTACAGCTCCCTGTTGTGTAAAGGCGTTAATGCAGTGCAGGTTGAATCAGTTAGCTTCAAGCCCGCCTGGCGACACAGCAGGCGGGCTTTCTCGTGGTGCTTTTGAGGAACAGACGCAATTTCCAATTTCCTGGAATTAAACTCCAAGAGAACAAAGAGATGGAAACTGATTTTAGAAGCCACAAAACTGCACTGCCAGTGAAGTAGTGGAAACTGAAATGGACAGAACACTTTGACGACTGCGCAGCTTTTTGCAGCAGAGAATGTACTTTTTATGCAAACTGTTGGACTTTAGAAATGTTTTTACACGCGTACTTCAGAGTGTTCTGTCTTTTGGTCTTATCTGTGTGGTTGGTAACATGAGCAAATCATTCTAACTGTGGATGTGCAGCATCGGGTCAGGAGGGTGTTATATGTTAACTCAGACTAGAGGCGTGCAAAACACAGAGGAGCAACATGTGTCATTTATCCACAGACCATGATGGTGGTTATTCCGTGTTTTAATCAGGTCCATATTATGTTTATTGGTTACTGTGCTGTACTACAACTATGGGGACACAACAGTTCTCTAAGTCAGGACTCAACCAGGCTGCAGTGTTAAATCAGGACAGCAGGAAAAATCCGGCATTGACCAAGAAACATCCCCAGCCTGGACAGTGAACGGAGCCTCCAAAAACAGCCGATTTGACAGGATAGTAGCGCCCCCCTTCACTTCAAGAACTCTTAGCTGCTCACATGCACTTTTATTAAAGTGGATTGACTGCTTTTCTTTTACTTGACTTTATTGAGTATTCCGTCTCCGTGTCTATGGGACCACGTGTGTTTCTGTTAGGATATCATGTCTGGAGCACTGGACCAAACCAATGTCCCTGTGGTTGATCTGTATTGGAGTCCTTCACCAGTTGAGGACACGGTGAGGCAGTGTTGTCATAACACTAAAAGTATCTGAGTGCTTACTGAAGTGATGCCACGGTAACAACCAAAAACATCAGGAAAATAAAGCTACAATAGATGAACATGGACCTTAAACGTCTTCTTCTCTTCATTCATCAAACCACAAAGCTTCTTTGGACAATGTCAATGCAACATATACACAGTTCTGTGTAATCAAACCAGGAAATGTATTGTGAGCTCATGCCTCAATGTGTTCAGTTTATCACAGTCATTACTGTAGCACATCTCTTATCAGGAGGAACAGATACTGTACCTTCTTCCTGGGTCGTAGTTTCTCCCTCCACTCCTTCAGCTCCATACTGTGCTCCTCGTCCAACTCCTTCAGCTTCTGGGTCTCGTGTTCAATGAGCAGGTGGCACTTCTCGTTCTGAAACGCACACCGGGGGGGGGGGGGGGGGGGGGGTGTTATGAAGCATATTTCCGTGTCCGGGACTGCGTGTAAACAGCAGATCAGAGGCGCTTGATCTCTACCTGTAACTGCTGAAGCTCTCGGATGTTGACGTCACACTGCAGCTGCAGGTCTCTCATCTGGTTTTCGTGTTTCTGATGCTGATGGAGCCTCTCGTTCTTCTGTCTCTTCTCTTCCTGCGCTGCAAACTGGAGAACACAGACACCATTAGGCTTCTGGGTTCTCATTCTTTTAAAGGAAAGTGGGCTAAGGTTTTGGTGTGACGAAAGGGTTGATTTCATTTCTGGCAGATTACGCTCGGTGTTGCCCGTCACCTGTTTGACCTTCTCCCTCTCCTGCTCGGGGGTGATGAAAGCTCCGGTGATGCGGAGGCTTTTCTTGAACATGGCCATGCGGGTCTTGGCCTCGCTGCGCTGAATCTTCGGCAGCCTGGCTCTCTCCTGCGTCTGCTTGTTCTTCATCTCCTCGATCAGACGCTGGTTGTAGCGCTGCATCTGCTCCATCTCCTGCACAGGCCACACAAGCAGAGACACAGAACATGGAGAGGAGCTCGCAGAGAAAGTTTTGACAGGAACAGAAGCACCCGGAGGTTGGAGGGATAATCAAAGAGCTAGATTGAGGCTAAGTGTCTGATGCAGCTGGTACCTTCTCGTGTCTCTTCAGCAGCTGATGTCTCTGCATGAAGTACTGGTCTTTGAGCTGCTGTTTGAACAGCTGGTGTTTCTCCTGCAGATGGCGCTCTTCCAGCTCCCACATGGCAGCCTCCCGTGCTAGAGAACAAAAGACAGCTAACTGATCAGTCTCCTCAACGTCTGTATTTCTAGATGCTCTGCAGTGAGACGGAGCAGAAGACGTGCAGCGACAGTTACCTCCTGAATGCTCGAGTTTAACAATATCAACTTTACTAATGAGGTTTCAGCTTTTAAGCTCTCAACTATCTCAGTGTGTTTTCCCAGAGAACGCCCTTGACGGGCTCCTAACGCACAGTAACACCTCAGAGAGTGCTTCTCAGAAGTGTTGTTTGTGCAGCATGTTAAGCACAGATTAAGTCCCAGGCAGCGCTACCTGCTAACAGGCTGCAGTGGTGTCGGTTGGGCTGAGAAGATCTCAGGCTTGTTTACTGCTCCTCTGACTCCCTATGAATGAGATGCTTCCATTCTATGCTGAACCTTCTGCTAGCACTCTGAGAGGATTGGTCAACACGTATTGCTGACCTGCCTGGAGGAGGACCCTAACATTGGGCCTCATGTAGCAACAGTCTCTTTGATCTCTCTTTGTTCAGAGAAGAAATAAGAGAGGTAACCTCCAGACGGACCAAATGTTCTTAACCATCCAGATCTGCTGAATGATAAATCACAGTTATCATAAATTGATTATTAATATCATCATAACGCCCCCTAAACACTCAATAAGGGCAGCTGTTGTGCTGTTGAGAAGGAGTTCAGCTGAAGTTAACAGAGGCGTATTGTTGAATTAAACAAAGTGAACCTGTGGTTCTCCAGAGCGTCGGTACCGAGGTTACAGGAGAATCAAAAAGCTTCTGAGAGCAGTACGGAAGCCGTTTAAAAGATGAATTATGATCAATGGACCAATATTATGTTCTCTACAATCCCATCACTATAGTCACTCGAAAACAGCCCATTCATCTGCACACACCCCCAAAAGATATTCAACACGGTCAGAACATCTTTGACTTCATTATAAACTGTTGAACTGAACATGTAAGTCAAAGTAATAAATATATAAATCTGGAACTAATCATTAAACTAACCATAGATAATGTAGCAGAGAACATTTTAATTTTTTGAAAGAGGGAAGTGAACATCAGTCTGCTTCACTTCCTGCATTGAATCTTGGTAAGAGAACATCCTGAAGGTGTGATTTGGTGGTTTACATCATTCGGATATGTTCTATTTATTCACAACGTGTTCTGAGGTTTAGAAGTGGCCAGGGTTACATTGTTAAACGCAACTCTTAGAAACCATGAACGTTGGTGCGTGTTCCCGGGGGAAGCAGGGTCTGAAGTGTGTGATGAATGGATAATTACGTGGCTGGATCATTTGGAAGAGAGAGAACCTCAACGGTGGTAAATAAGACAAGGTAACAGAAGGATTTATTGTCCTGCTGCTCTTGTATTGTGGTGTTTTGTTATAGACTCCAGAGAAACAAACTGAAAACAGGTCTGATACGACATGAACACAAGTCGTCTGTCTGCTATAAAATCAGCTGTTCACCGGGACCGCAGAGGTTTACGTGACATGAACACAGCATTACCTGCCTGACAGTAAATCGGTTAGTATTTTCACCTCGGAGCAGCTGCTGCTTGTGGTTGAGGCAGTCTTTCTCGATGGTGGCGAGCTCGTGTTTGTGTTGCTGGATGATCTTCTTCAGAGCGGTATCCAGATCCTGCTGCTGCTTCTGAAGAAACTCCTGTTCCTGGACGGAGGACAGAGAATACAGGTGACATGAAGAAAACACAGGAAGATGCTGCTGATCTACCATTCAGTGTGTCTGAGAGACCCACGCAAAGTTATGATGATAATAATAATAATGAGGATAGAAACAACGACAATCAACATCAGAATAATAACGAGAATAGATGTTCGTCTCATCAGTGAGACACTTCTACACAGAAACCTTTATCCATACATTAACCTGGATTGGCTTTATGAGGCCAGCTGAGTGAGTGAGTGAGTGAGTGTGTGTGTGTGTGTTGGCCGACAGGCTTTCTGCCAAGTTCACCTCAGGTTAAGCTCAGCTTGAGCTGAAGGACCAGATGGTAGCAGCAGGTAATAAAGAGCGTTTCACCTGTTTGTCACATTAATCCTAACCCTACCTGGCTTACCTCACACAGAGAGGAATTAGCGGTCATGTGGCGCTCAACGATAACACAGGAAGCACCATCAAGGTGTCTATTGACGCATGTCTCCAAATGTCCACAATTTACCCAACGGATCTGAGCGTGGCATGTTCTCATGGGAAAGGTAGAACATAAGGAACAACCTATAAACCGTGAGGCCATGGGCCACTACCTCGTACGGTTCTGATCCAATAGAGAACAATGACCCTCACTCATGAACCACACTGGCTTGATTTAAGAGAACTTGCTGTATTGTGAATGATCTCTTAGGTACAAACACAGTCTCAAGTGGTCCAGACCTGTCCTAGCAGTCATTTGTCCCCATTACTCGTCTTCATCAGGTCCCTTAATTCTGTTAAAGAGAGACTTTCCTCTCTGGATCTCTGAAAGCAGGACTTCATCATAGGACACAAGGGGTAGGACGTGTAGCCTTATATGGTGTTATTGGGTTGTTAGCGATGCTAATTCACTGTCCTTATGGACGCGCTCATTTACACACACATGTCACTCATCATGTTAACTCTGGTCATTCAGTTATCTGAAGTTCAGAGAGTTTGCTGAATGTGACGTGGCTCACTCGTACGAGCTCACCAAACGGAAACAAGGAGGAGAAAATGAAGATAAGAATACCAAAATGTTCTCGCATGAGCTCCATTACTTGTGGATGAAAAGCACTACAATTCACAGCATTTCATTGTCAGCAGTAAACATTTCTCTCTGTGATTTGTTGATGGCATGGCACTATTTTAGGATTGGTGTAGGCCTGTGCTGATGTATAGAAAAGGTGTGTGTTGTCTCAAGAGTGACGAGTCATGCTTTCAGAGGCCAGACTCCAAATGTGAGGAACACAGGGGTTTCACTTACGTCCTGTATGGAAGCGTTGCACAAGGTGCACGAGGACAACTGAGAGGACTGAATCATGACAAGGGCCACTCCCTGTGGATCACAGTGCATTACCCTCCTAGACATTGCTCTAAACACTGCACACTGCACACACACTCTGAACCTGTGAAGGGGCACTGCACACTCCGGGAGGAAAAGGGGAAGGAAAGTCCTGAAAGCCCCACCAAACAGCAGAAGAAATATGTGCTGGATAACTCTGTTCCAACAAAAGTCAGAGAGGAAGAGCTGAGAGGAACAGGGAGTGTGCGAGTCAAAGTTCAAAACTCACAGCAAACCGGGGCCCTCATGACCTCATTCGGCTGGGCTTGGACAATATCCTCTTTAATACCTTTAATGATAGCGTTGGTCACATGCTTTTGGAGAAAGTCCCACTTCCTGTTTGCCCTATATCAGAGCAGCCACGAGCAATAGATAGAAAGCAAATGAGAAAGAAGCTGTGGATGGATTAACACTCCGTGACTCGTTTATCTCTTGTGCAGCTAAACGGTGGTGATGCCAATCAGAGAGGCTTGTGTGTGTGTGTATGGCGAAGTATCAAAATAACTCACTATAAATAGGAAGTGTACAAGCTATCCCGCCCTGCTAAGGGCCTACATGTGGGCAAAGGGAAGTGAAAGGACATTCCACGCGTCATGTGTGGAACATGCTAACCTCTTTCTTGCGGTTTTTCAGCATGTTCTGGTACTTGGACAGCTCTTTGTCCTGCTCGGCTTTGATGCGCTTGGCCTCGTCCCTGAGCCGGTTGGTGTGCTCCTGCTCCAGCCTCTCGATGGTCTGCTTCTGCTGCCGCTCCAGGTTCTCCACCTCCTGGTCGTACTGACGCTTCTTACTCTGTAAGGCACAGAGGGTCACGTCATGTCAGTGAAACAAAGAAGCAAATGATGGTATTTAAAGAGGCAGCAGCGTGGGAGGGTCATCCAGCAGTAGGAGTCACTCTAACAGAGAGATGCACCAATCCATCGGCCGCGGATTGATACCGGACACACAAGTGCCGCCGGATACGTTGACACAAAGTCCAAAGTAAGCTGTGGAAGACCAACCTTTAAAACTTTAAATACAACTGAAACTTTCAAAGAAATATTACAAAAATGTCTGTCAATTACAGTCCTTCAGGAATCGGAATTGAAAAGTGAGGCTGACAATAACCTTCGTTATGTACGTTTTAAAAAGGAATGCGAGGCAGCCAACACCTCCATCTATCTATCTAAACCTCAATAGAAGCCACTGCTACGGCGCTAAAAGGTACTAGCAACAAGTAATGACAACTGAAGGGAATCCTTCACACAGTAACATCAACAGTTTGCCCTTCACCAACTGCCAGGAAAACCTGGATCTCTGTGCAGTGGAAGAAAACACTCGAATGAGTCATCCTCTTTCACCCTTTTTCCTACATCTGCGGAGGCTCCATTTAACCACCACAGAGTGACGTCTTTTTATACACAGCCCTGTTTCTTCTGCTTCTGGCGTTCCCTAATCTAGAGATGGCAAAATGTTCTGTTACACCACAACAACGTCACCATTCGTTTTGTAGTGAAGTAAAAAGTGCTGAACCACCTCCCAAAAAAGTGACGGGACTGAATGCTCATGAGAGTGTTTGGAATGCAGAGAGACACATTCATTTCCATTTTTCTTGTAGTAAGTCATATTCCTGTCAGATACCAAAACACTCATAATACACATGTTTACATTTTCACCATCCGTTGCTCTATTTTCATAAACACATTTTTTTGACTGTTCCTTAAAACCTTTTTAAGTGAATAAAAGAAACGGTTCCATTTCTTGCCGCGTTAAATGAGGTCATTGGCCGGTCTTTGAGGTTTCATGTGTAATTAATCTCAATGCAGTTGTTCCCAAAGTGGATGCAGATTGTCGAGCTAAAATGAGTTCCAAGATGCAAGCAGTCAGAAATAGCATCAGAGGGAACAGAACAGTTAACAGACATGCTACTTCTGTTTTCTGTAAATACCTGAAGCAAAAGCTGCCACACTAAAACTACTTCCTCCTCTGGGCTTGGTACGAGTTCATGTTAAAAGGAGCAGTGTGTAACATTTAGGGGGAGTAATTGGCAGCAATGGAATATCATTTTCATAACTATGTTTTGATCAGTGTATAATCACTTGAAACTAAGAATCGTAGTGCTTCCGTTAGCTTAGAAAATGCTGTTTATAACTTCCTAGGTGTCAGTAACCCTGTGGGAAGATTGCTAAACGCTAACATTAGCATAGCTATGATGCTAACCGGTGCTTCACACTAGATAGGCCCGGGATGGAAACATTTGAGATGGTGCAAGTACACAACATATATATGTATATTATAAATGGTCTTCCTAGTCTTCTTACACTACATGTCATTCACACACCGATGCCAGGACTACCATGGAAGTATGCCACTATCCGTCAGGGCTAGTTAACCATTCACACACCGATGACACAGCCTACGGGAAAAATTTGGGGTTAGCCGCCTTGCCCAAACACATCGACATGGACAAGCGGAGCCGGGGATCGAACCGCCGATCTTCAGACTGAACAACCCACTCTATCTCAGAGCCCCAGCTAGGTCTAGTCACTTTTGGACATTTTAACATGACAAAAGTTACATATTATACTTTTTAAATGAAGTTTGAGAATGACTGTTTTAAACATTTCAGCAGCCACTGGAACATAATGAAACATATAACACAACAGCTGGTTCCTTAAACTCATTCTGACTCAGCCTCATTTTCCTGCCATGACCAGAACTACGTCATGAGCAGACAATGAGGTGAAGCATGGCTGTGAGAGGGCTGAAGACAACCTGGAGAAAGAATTCACTACAGAGAATAATATTTGGTGGCTGGAGGATAAAAACCGCCGTTTGGTCGGATGCATCCGAGCCATGAATCTGAGCCAGGACTTTTCCGAGCTGAGTGACTCACCGTGGTCTCCTGCTCAAAGCGCCGGTAGATCTGTTCCGTCTGCTGCTGCAGCTTGTTGCTGAGCTGCTGCTGGGCCCTCTGCTCCTCCTTCTGCAGGAGACGCAGCTCCCTCAGCTCCTGGCGTCTGGAGACGAGGAGAGAATAGTGGGTGGTGGCAGAGGAAAAAAAAGATGTTAATTCTGTGTCAGAGAGGTGAACATGCATGACCTCATTGGCCCGAGTCTAAATGACGCTGTGTCCTTAAAGCCTATCAGCGCTGAGATGCTCCTCCTGTCATCACTGACGTTGTTGAATCAGGAAAAAACCATACGGTGTAAAATATAACGACGCTGCTGTATTTAGCCTAGATGACGTTATGTTGAGTGTTGATGGAGCTGCTACAATGTTAGCAAAGCCCATCACCGATCTATCCGAGCTGCACTGAGAAAACAAGCACTTTAAAAGTGATTTGCTTGTCGTCTTGGGGAGACAACTAACAAAATATGAATTCAGACTTTTTACAAATCGGCATCATTACGTAGTTATTTCGATGTCCCTTTTTGTCCGTTTATTGCAGTTAAATCACAGAAACATCTGTTTATTTTGTGTTCATAGAGCTGTAGTAAAAACCAGCTGACGTGTCACAGTGAATACAGCTCGATGAAATCCACGGAGCGCCTCCAGATGATGTTATAAACCCAGACAAGAAGGCGTTTAGTTTCCCGGGATATCTGGGACTTTCACAACACGTACTAAGCAGCCATGGTTGATGGCGGAAATAAATGGCTTAGTTGATAACGGTTTCCATGGAGATAAGCCACTCCTTCCCTGCGGTGCGTCTAGAGCGAATGAAGCGAATAACAACAAATGATCCAGCGAGTAAACTCCCGCGAGTAACGCAACGTGAAGATTAGCTTTGTGTTTGGTGTGAACACAGCATAGGGTTACTAGGCAACCTGTTTACATGATATTTGTAAATGAAGGCAGGTGAATACCTCAGGAACCTCATCTCCTCGTTCTTGGTATCATTGTCACTGATGATCTTTGATGTGGTCACGCTAACTTCCACTCCGTCCACAATGAATTTGCGAGTCTTTTTTAACGTCTTCTTCTGACGCTTGTTGTCCTGGAAAAGAAGAAGAAGAAAGAAGAAGAAGAAGAAGAGTTCATGGATGTTTCTGTAGCTCTGCTGATATCTGAGTGTGTGGACTGCGAGGGTTACCTGTATGGAAATAGATCCCGGCTCTTTTGTTTTGGACAGAAAGCTTGAGATGGACAGATTGAGGTCCACGCTGCTGTTATCTGCAGCTGGGCCGCTCCCCGAGTCTGAATCTCTCTCTCCGTCATCCTTAGCTTTGTCTGGAACAGTTTTCTCATCTTCTGCATTCATCTTCTCCTTTTCTGTGGGCTTCTCTCCATCCTCCTCCTTTGGGACAACGTTAAATTGCTCTGGTAGTGTCAGTGTCACCTTGAGATTTTTGTACCGGTCCTCCTCCTTCTCCTGCTCCTCTGCTGGTGCGTTTGATTCCTCCACAGCAGCTTTGTTCTCCTCCTGAGGAGCGTTGGCGACCTCTGAACCCTCTGTGCTCGCCTGTGGATTGGCTGGACCCTCCGACGTGTCCACTTCCTTTTCATCCTCCACTGCAATCTCCAGCTCCTGCATTTCCTTGGCAGGTGCCTCTGGTTGGGTCTCTGGTTCTGGGGAGGCAACATCTCCTCCTGCTTCTGGGGGCTTTTCCTCCACTGGTTTCTGTTCCACCTCTCCGTCCTCATCTGGAGTGTTTGAAGTCTCCTCAGCTACAGGGGCAGCGGCCTCCTCAACAAAGCTAGTGTCCACCACATGGTTGGCCACAGGGAGCTCAGTGGGTGTGGGCACGGACACAACCGGCTCCACCTTCTCAGGGACTGATTCCAACATGGAGGGAGAGAGGGGGATCTTCTCATCCTCTGAGCTGGCAACGCTGACGTCAGAGGGGGCGCGCTTGTGGCCCTGAAGCAGTGGTGGAAGTGACAGTTAAAGAGATTATTAGTTTCACCTTAAAATACAACACAACAGGGTGCATGAATGACCAATACTTATTAATACCAATTAATCCATCACTTGACCAACAAAAAAATGAATCAGCAAATGGTTCTGTTAATAAATGAATCATTTTAAGACCTATTTCGAGAAAAATTGCCGTTACTTTTCTTTGTGTTCAATCTGGTAAACTGCATATCTTTGTGTTATTGGAATATATCAAGAAAATAATCAGCAGGTTAATAAAGAATGAAAATGATTGTTAGTTGAAGCCCAATATATAAAATACTAAAATGTTTTTAAAGCTGGGTTTGTAACATTCAGTTATTAAGAATATTCAGACATTGGAATTGGAGTGTAAAATAAATATTAAAATATTAAAAATAAATATTAAAATAAATAAAATAATGCCACACAACCAAAACAATAAATAAAATGGACTCTTTGGCTCTGTAAATATAAAATGTGCAAATTTGGCACAACGTCCAAGTCTTATAATGGTAAGAAAAGCCTTGGTGTATATTCTGGCATCATGTTGGTGACATTCCTAAACAAACGAGTGTAAACACAACGAGCTGTATCGATGTGGAATCATGAATCAGCAGAAATGATTGAGGTCATGTCCATATATGGTACGATAATAATAATTATCGTGAAAGGCCAACTTATTGTTAATTGTTATGATAATAAAAGACTGGGTGACAATTTACTAACATACTGTACTGAGAATCTGGAAATGACTAAAATGATCCACTGATCATCAAAGCAGATTAAACATTTTTAATATGCTGATTAATTTATCTCAGCTCTACAAAAAAGTCATAAAACACTAGCAAGTTCCTTTTGCAAACAGATTTTTGTAAATGTTTACACACCAGGTGGGCTTCCGTCTCTTCCTCCTCCTCTTCCTCTTTGTGGTCTTCAATCTCCTCCGTGACCTCAGCCTTTGCCTCCGCTATGAGCTCCCTCAGGGGCCTGCCGTCAGTCACGCTGGACACAAATGAATGCTGCGCACAAGACAATTCACAATAACACGATTAGTAATCAAGGTTTCATCTCCATCTTAACGGTGTCGTAACATTTCAGCCGCTGCAATAACAGCCCTTCGACATAGTTGGCAGCAAGGACTGGACACCCCGCAGACAACTAATCCCACAGACTTTGAGATAGAAACTGCTCACAGTATAACAGACGGTTCTGTTTTGACCATGCGAGACACAAGATCCAAATAGCACGCTAAACAATACGGACTTTCCTGCATCCTTCTGTTACTCTTCCTCTGGGAATAAGTCAATCAACTTCTTTGTTGCGTACAAAGAGACTACACACACACACACACACACACACACACACACACACACACACACACACTGTATCTACACTTTCTGACCACCTCACCTTCTTCAGCTGAGAAATCTGCTGCACATATTCTATCGCTGGCCTGAGAATATGCAGCTTCTTCGATATCATAACCTTCATCGGCGGCAGACCGCTGTGTTGAATTTTCAAGCCCATCGAGTCTTCCTCTGTGCAGAACAACCCTTTAGCTGCAGCGTTGAAATGTGTTCACTGTGTGTGTGTGTGTGTGTGTGGACGCGTCCTTACTGCTGCTCTGTACATAAGTGGCTCTGACTCGACGAGCACCTTAAACCCTTCAAAGAAAAGCTGCACTGCTGACGTCAGCGTGGGCACACACTCTGAATGGCAGCTGGTACATGGGTATGGGATGGGGAACGAGGATTATCAGTAATAAAGTTACTTGTTGAAATAAAGGTTGAACTTTTTTTTTTTTTTTTTTAAAGGCTGTGAACTAAGGGACTGGGAGAGAACAAAAAATCAAAACTTTCAATTTAAATAATGAATTATATATTTTCATTCTGCTCTTTTCATTTATTGAAGTGCCAGTTGAGGAAGTCTGTGTTAAGCTAAAATCCCTTTTCCGTATAGTTTTTACATGAACTGAAAATGTTAGCTTGCACAGCAGCTGGATTCTCAGGAGGTCACGCGAGAACAGCGTCATCACATGAAAATCAAGTAATGCGTTTGTGTCTGGACCAATCAGCTTCCTGTGAGGAGCTTCTGGCAGCTAGGGGCGGGGCTTAGGTGTGTGAGAGACAACATGGAGAGGAGACTGTTGGTTGTTACCAATGGCCGCTCCTGAAGAGGTCAGTGTAGATGCTGCAGTGTCATCAGTCCTATCACTGGAGAGTATTTCTTCATTGGAAGAAGAGCAAAGAACAACACTGAAGGCTTTTCGACATAGAAAAGACTCGCTTCGGTAAGAGTTTGATTGACAGATGGTTCGTCAAACAGTGCGTGTTCTTTTCCAAACCACTTTTAATGACGGCCTCTCAGAAGGTTCTGATGGCTCAGGTTAGAATAAATGGACTTTGTTCCCGTGGAACCAATGCTTACAGACATCCCTGACTGAACTGAAAGAGTTACCTGTAGCAGTTGAGTGGGGTTCCATCTGTTGTCCACATGCTTGTCCAAACACCGCTTTAAGAAGTCACTGAATTCTGGGGACCTTAAGAGTGCAAGTGGTAAAACAATAAGACTTAAGACAATGAAAACTCTACTACATCAAGGATCTCTGCATATCAAGATATGATGTAGAGTTATGCTGAACTAATACATGGCCATTGAACCAGTGACTCACCAGCGTGACGGCTGCATCAGGGTGGGAGGGTCCGCCTTGGCTATTTTCAGCAGGACTCTCATGGGGTTCATCTCGTGATTGGGCGGCTCAATCTGCGCCAGCTCTATCAATGTGACCCCGAGGGACCAGATGTCAGCCTTGTAGTCGTACGGACGGTCCTTGGACGTCTCGCACATCACCACCTCCGGAGCCATCCTGGAAGCACAGAAGGAAAGTCACTGATAGGAGATGTGGAGTCAATGGATGCTTGTTCTATGTACAAGAAAGACAAACTGATAGTGAGTATTAGATTCACTTCTTTCATCAAAGAACTGAAGAAAGAGTCGTCATTGACTAGGACTATGAAGGCAAATCACTGTCAAAATCCGAGAGCGCAAATGAGATCCACAGCGACGAGCGCTTTTACATCGATCGCGCGAGCGACATTCCCTATTCCTACATATCAGTGACTGGTGTGGGCTTGCTTTGTTTTACAGATTTTGTCAAAGCGGGGTTGCTGGTTAGAGATAGCCACTCTCAGTTCATTTTCAATGTTCAACTTTGATCCGTATTTGGTCTTCATTGCAGCAACTGCAGAAAAGCCTGTTTCACATAAATAGGATGTGGCAAAAGGCAACAGTATGCCCATAGCTCTTTGGCCTAGTAGTGGGTAGTCTGTCTCCACTCCAATCCAAAACACAGCCAGTGAATTGGATGTGAACTGTAGTCTCCTTGTTGAGTCGGATGTCATGTCAATGTACTGCTCTTCCTCTGTGGTACCGAGGTCTGCAGGTGCAGTTGCTTGAAAGGGGTCTCGTATCCACTCATATTTTGCAGAATCCTCAGGGAAGTACTTGTGAAAGTGATTTTGCAGGGCTGAGATATGAGCCTTCATACATGGAATAATTGTATTTTCCAGCTCATTGTTGTCAAGGAATGCATTCAGGTTTTCAAAGGCGTCCACACTCCCCTCTGCAAGCCTTCTCTCCCACATCTTCAGTTTTTTAGGAAAAGATGTTATTTTGTCTGTGAGCTGTGGAAGATGAGTGTTGGTGCCTTGCAACTGTAAATTCAGTCCATTGAGCTTCTGAAATATATCGCTGAGATAGGCAAGCTTCTGTAAGAAGTTTCCATCATGATACTTGTGGGCAAGGTCATTCCTTTCTTCAGTCAATAGCACTCTGATCTCATCCCTCAGCTCAGAAACCCTGGACAGTACCGTCCCTCGTGAAAGCCATCTAGACTCACTGTGGCACAACAGAGCCGTGTTCTCGGATCCCATTTCTTCACATATTGATGATAAAAATCCAGGATTTCAGGAGTCTGGTTTTTATGTAGTTGACTGTTGTGATGACATCTGTCAACACTGAGTTCAGTTCGGGACTTAGCTCTTTGGAGGCAAGTGGCTCTCTGTGAAGGAGGCAGTGTGTCCACTGTGCTTTGTGAGAGACGCGCCTGATAAGAGCTTGCAGTCCGCTGCGTTTCCCAGCCATCGCCTTCGCCCCATCTGTGCAGACTCCCACTTCAGATCTGCCTCTTTGAAATAGGTGTCAATTATTTTGAAAAGTTCTTCTGCAATGGCTGCAAGTAGTATTAACTCCTCTGCTATTGTGTGAGCCTTTTTGCATTGGGCGACTCTGTAGGCTACTTTGGACAGATACAGCTTTTACAAAGTGACTCTGCTGGGCATGACAGTTTTCCAATTTTCTGTTGAAAAACTCAACGTGCTTGTTTGCATGTTCGGGTTGGTGGGTTTCCAAGTGTCTTTTTAATGTAGTGGGCTTCATACTGTCTGCCGCCAGTATTTTAGGACACACAACACACCGGGGTCTCTCTTCTTGGCCGACCATAGTGCTTGTAAAGCACAGGGACAGATACGCCTCCTTATATTTTCTTGCTTTTACCTTTTTTTGTGCCGTTGTTGTGGTGGTCGCGTCGCCTGTTACAGACTGCCTGTAACAGACTTACCATCTGATTTGCGCTTTACACCAGTCTCACACCTCTCTCTCTCTCTCTTCTCCCCCCCCCCCCCGTGGTTGGAACACTGCATGTCAGGTCGGTTCCGCTCAATTTCTTTTTCTTTCTTAGGTGCAACCATATGATATAGTGCCCTATCTTTACAACTTGTTACCGGTGTATGCGGGTTGGTGATGAAGCCCCCCCTGTAGTTCCACTGTTTGGGAACCACTGGACTCGGAAAACAGGTTTTGTTTGATATTCAACTCACCAGTAAGGTGTCCCAATGAAAGAGTCTCTCCTCTGCAGGGTTTTGGTGTTTTTGGCAGACACACCAAAGTCAGCTGGAAGACAAGGCAAACCAGGTATTTATCAGAGGGACACCACTGTCATCATTGATTCCCCAAACTAAATAAAAACAGCAGAACAACTAATAATCTCATCAGTGCATGAACACGGCCTGAGAGGAAACAATGTGCCGTTATAATGTTGGGTTTACGTTTTGCATGATGACATCATGCCTCGTCTGTGTGGCGTGTGAGTAGTCAGCAACACCTGCTATTGTGCATGACGCTCACTCATTCATTATGATGTCTGCCATGCAGCAGTAAAGGCCTTTGCCCACCAAGTCTGCAGTTTTAGTCCAAAATGTTTCAAAAATAAATACGACCTCATGTGTCAATCACGTTTACTCACAGACTCGGAAACTTTCATCCGTCATAAAGTTTCGAAAAAAACATTTCGTCTTCAGACTGTGTCACAGTTAGCTCGTTTGACAGTTCTTCTTTTAAAGGGGCATTTCACTGATCTCACATCAGGTTCAGTGTGCTTGTCACAAAAGACAGGGATTCAACCTGTGACACCAGTAGAATATCATCTTATCTTGTGTTCTTTCTGGCTCAGTGTCCCATCAACATGGGTCGTAAAAACCCAGACACACTGACACTTTCCGCTATCCACTCATATACTGACTTGTGCACTTGGTTAAAAAACAGCAGACATATAGACAAAGAACAAACGATGAGTTAAACCGCTGTTCTATTGAGTTGCATTATGGGAGTTGCTAAGTGTTTGGCCCGTGCTTGAGACGAGATACCTCTGTTTCAATTCTGCTGTCTGGTTTAAAACTTATTGATTACATATTTCCTTGACATTTTCAGTTTGGTTACAGCTTGGGTGTCCTGGAAATCTTACTTCACACGATAAAGTCACCACATTGTCTCTTGCGCCGGTGTCACATTCATAGAGTGTAATGTCATGAAAAGGATCACATGAGCTGCTGAGCTCGTTGCATTTAAAGTGTGGTAAAGTGCTGACGTTGGTTTTCTGCTCCACGTGATAGCACATGATAGACCGACTGAACACAGAGCTTCTGTTGGAGAGGCCTGTGTGTGTGTGTGTGTGTGTGTGAACTATGAGGACAAACACTCGACTTAGATGACTGAATGTATTTGATCTGCATGTGTGAGAGCGGCTGTAAAAAGGGTGGATCACTGTACAGCAGCTTAATCTTGAGAAAACGGCCAAAGGCACAGAACCTACATCGATAGAATGTGAACTCATTCGTGGTTTGTCCCCTAGAAAAGTACAAAACTAAACTAAAACTTGCATAACTGAACCAGGAAAATGTAGTATAAGAGAGTTTGCCCTAGCTTTTTACTTTCTCCTATACCCTGTGTGCATGTATGACACAGATCACAGTTCATGTTTGTGGGATTGTCTTTTCGGAACCATCTATGGATTGAATCATATCCATTCTGGGTATGATGGGGGACAGTTTGAGACAGGGTATGTAGCTGTACTTCCTGGTGTTAACAGAAGGAGTTAACTTTGCCCTTACCCAGCTTGACGTCCCCATCCAGCATGAGGAGGATGTTGCCAGCCTTCAGGTCTCTGTGGATGATGTTGTTGTCGTGGAGGTAGACGAGGGCCAGCAGAGTCTGCTTACACACCACCCTGATCTGAGGCTCCGTCAGAGGTCTCTCCAGTTCTACAGGGACCACAGGAAGACGCGTGCTTACAATTTATGACTGTGGAGCACGCACACATGCAACCGAATCATAGACGGTTATATGAGCTGTAATAATGAACGAGGACTGTAATGTGCATGTGGTCTACAGAGGTCTTTAGATGTCTTAAGGCCTTTACACACCGGGGGCGCAACCAATAAACCACAATTTCAACAAAAGGTTTGAATAGAGTCACGCAGCCAGAGGACCAACTACCAGGAACCGTAGTGAGCCAGAGCAGCGTCTGAGGTAAACTGTAGCCTAAGCTACTCTTAACTGCTTTATCGAGTGAATACGAGTTCCCTCTGGCAAACAGTTACAGTGTATATGTCTAGGGCTTTTATTGTGAAAGGTAAGAGAAGGAGTGAATCTGGTCTGCGCTCTCTTCGTCAAGGTTGAAAGGAATAATAAAGCCTTGGTTTGGACTACGGAGCCTCCGTGTTGTTGTACTATATAGTGTACAAACACTGTGATTGGTTGATGCATATATTTGCGGTGTGAATGCTCAGAAGAATCAACCTCGCTCTGAAAAAACCCCCCGAAAAATATAAATTGATGTGCAAATGAATCACACCATAGAAAAACGCTCCCGGTGTGTTAAAGCCTTCACACTGACATGTTTTAGTGTTTACTGTTTGACATTCTAACCCGTATGCAAAGTGGAAGTGCTGACTCACCTAGCATGACTGCATCCACAGCCCCTCCAGCACAGAACTCGATGAGGATCTGCCAACGTGGGCACAGGGAACACAGAGTCAATGTGGTTTACAACACACGTTTGTTCATGTACAACAGCATGCGTCAAATAGCCTTTATCAAATGTTTTAGATTATTTAGAGGTACAACAACAATAATGCGACACAGAGGCGAGTGCAGTAATGCTGTGGTTGAACACAGCGCTCTGTCAAAGCTGTAGTGAAGTCTGGAAGGTTCTCAGGTTCAGAGAGAGAAATGCATTGTAACTCTGTACAAAACTCAAAAGGGACCCGCCACCATGTACCCGACCTACTCACTCCACTAAAGCAGGTTGAGAAGGAACCTCCACCCAGCCTGCGTGAATGAAACACCCGGAGCCCTTGAAGGCGTTTAGGAGCTTTCAGTACGGCTGTTGCTGTAAGAGGATTGGCCCAGTTAGGGGCCACATTGTGGACAAGGTTTCACACAGCTGGTAGGTCACTAGCTAGCTATATAGCCAGACCTCAGCCTTATTCTGTAAATAGGATTAAAGTTTCTATGGACGCAGCACTTGAGGCAGGAGTGAGTATGATCAGTAGGTAAGGTAGAGCATCTGGAGCAGAGTCGTTATTCAGCCCATGATCCTCTACACTGACATCTGGGGAACATTTCGCCAAATGTCACACATTAAGGAAGGGGAAGTAAAGGCCGCAATTCTGCTACTTTGCAACCATTGAGAAACTAATTGTGGTTGATACGTCGGTTAAGGCCCGAGCTTATGTTACAGGGTCAGCCTGCGTTTCAAATGGCAAGTTACACAATCTTCTAAGAGCCTATTTATAAAAACTAACTTTTCATCAAAGATCAATGGCATTCCATTACTCAGTTGAGCTTTTCAAGGCTGTTCTACTTACAACAACAAAGCCCTTACAGGACACACAATGACTGAAGTCTCAGAACGGTCTCGGCTGGTCAACACACACACACACACACACACACACACACACACACACACACACACACACACACTCACACTCTTCTAGTGTTTCTCTGTAGGCGTGCTGTTGTGTTAGCGGCTCTGCTGTTCTACAATGGCCCCACAGTGGTTGCTCACCACGGGCCCGGGCTTCCTCTCTCCTACACACAAACACTTGGAGAAGTGTGCACCCACAGATTTACTAATCCATTCATGTGGCGCACAGAAGGAGGATGTGAGACTATATGTGACCTCACCTAAATTAGCAACATCACTTCAAACTGTTGCTGTGCAACTGAAACTGGAAACAAAATGTCAACGGATGACATATGCAGTTCTGAAGTGAGCCACCTCCCCACACTCCCGGGTTAAGTGGAATGAAGCCTTTCATCTCCAGGAGGGAATGTCCTGGACACTCTCTCCTCTCTGATCAGGTGGTGCACAGGCCAAGATACAAATCAACACTCAACCTCCATCAGGCTACGGCCATTGTTCGGAGGACAATAGGGAGGAAAAGGGCCGGGCACTGAAATGAAATACTCAGGTAATCAACAGAGTGTATAAAGACCCCACTGTCTTCTAAGATGCTTGAGTACTGACACACATGAGGCAATGTGGTGCTGGCTTCTGGAGTGGTTAGAGATTTATTCTACAGGAAAGAGGACCAGCCTGTAATCTATCTCAGTCACTGAGTTCCTTCCACACACACACACACAGTTTATGTATTCATGAACACTTCCCTCGTGAGTCTAGTGTAGAATCCCTATCTGCTGACACAGGTTTGCTCCAGGGCCGAGGTAAAGGGCACTACTTCTACACAACTAGTCACGAGGGCCCAACACTGATGCCCCTGGTGGGACACCTCAAACTCAGACTTTGTGTTGAAAGGAATAGACAAACTAGTTTCCAAAGATAACAGATGACCACAATAATGAAGGGCTAAAGTGAAGAACAAAGGCATTTAAAAGAAAAGCTCAAATCAACAGCGGCTGGATTATAAACTGGTGTGATGATTAACAGCTCTAAAAGCTGCTCCTTTCTGCTGATCATGTGAACTTTGGCCTCAAATGTGGATAAGAATACGACAGTAAGAAAGGAGCTTTCATAAAGCCTTGCAATAATAGTACAGTCCATCTATTCTCCTCCTCTTATGTGGGGCAGCAGGCTCAGCAGGGCCTCTAGACGGCCCTCTCATCCAGCAATATGTTCCAGAGACTTTCCCAGACCAGACGAGATATATAACCCCTCCAGTGTGTCCTGGGTCAACCCCAGGGGACGTGCCCGGAACATCTCTAAAGGGTGCCGACCATGAGGACCCCGATCAGACGTTGAACCCCACTCAGCCGGAGCCTTTAACGTGAAGGATCAGCGTCTCTACTCTGCGCTCCCTCTGGCTGAGCTATGAGGGAAGCTCATTTCAGCTGCTTGTATATCCGCGATGTCGTTCTCTGAGGTGAGGGTCGGAGCGTTAATGGACTGGTGAATCTTCACCAGAACGGTCCAGGTTCATCACTGCTGATGAGCCTGGACCGTCTTTCTGATACTTGACCTCACTCACAACCCGGAGGGAGCAATCAAATAGTACAGTGATGCAGAATCAATCCACATGTTCCCCTGCTCGAGTGGTAATACAGAGGAGACACTGATGACATTGTCGGTCCGGAGAGCTCTTCCCTCTACTCACCCACAGTTTGCTCTCAAAATAGAAAGCGTCGAGCAGTTTGACAATGTTTTGGTGGTCGCAGGAGGCCAGGATTTCGATCTCCACCATGTAGTCCTCCAGCTCCTCCTCCGTCTTTGTGTCAATAACTTTGGCTGCAGCTAGAATTCCCGTCTGTTTGTTTTGAGCCTGTAGGAGGAGAACGTTATCCGACATTTGTATGGCCAAAGCGCAGTTATTCAGGTCAGTCTTACGTCTTTCTTTTCCTGTGCTCTGATCGAGTTCAGGATGAACACATGTAATGTAATGGAAGACTCAGAAAACTTGGTTTATGTTGGACTTAAAGTTGTCTGACTTTAGACCTGCAACAAACACCGCACACACCCATTGAGAGGATCTAAAGACATCAAATACACCTGCTTTGCTGCAGGTCTGAGTAAGTTAGACAGGTCTTGTTAAAGTTTGTTTTGGCTTCTCTGCAGGCAGGATGTGCTCAAAGGAGTCACCGCTGCGATATGGGATGCAGCCACTTCCTGATGACCTGCCCGTGTTAGCCATACACGCCATTTAAAAATACATACACCCCCCCATAATCTACTCATGGGTACTAAAGCAGACAGCTTGTGTTTCACTATGAATCAACAGCGAGGACTATCCCAGTGATCATCAGTGCAGCGGGGCATTACACAGCTCAGACACAACTCTGCAGTTTACTATTCATAGATCTCCTTCAACTTGACTCCGGAATGTCACCGTTGGACAACCAGGAACTGCTTCCAGAGAACCACAATGAAGGATCTGTTTTGGTACTTTTTCTCCTTTTTTCAACAGTCGGTCTAGTTCACATAAGCCCTGCCTGTTGGAATGCTGGGAAATTGACAACATGTGATGAAATCATTGTGCAAGACGATTAGGCTTAAATTAAGTATGATACTAAATAACACCCCATTTAAAACTCTCGGGTAAGTCCAACTGTTTCAAAGTGTCCAAAAATAGCATTTGGCACCAAAGAGCCAAACAGTCCATGCAAAGTGCGTTGATCAGCCACAGACTTCCTCCTATCAGACCTGGTCCAGCCCTGCTGTGTGACAACATTTACTGTCACTCATGCAAATGAAGCACTCTGGCTCCAGCAATGCACTGGGGTGAAACCAAACAATGGCTCGATTTAAAATGATGACGAGGGGGTTGTTGGAGCTTCTAAAAGCAGCTGAAGAGTAGATATGAAAAAGGCGTAGCCACGGCTTCTATCTGTACGTATATGACAAATATGATGTTAAATGGTGGTTAATTCTCAGCTTTACCGGTCAGTGAGACCAGGTAGAGAAGAAGTCAGTTTTAATGAGGGGATGGGATGATATTTGGATGTCACATGTATACAACCTTCATAGGGAGAGGGGTGAGACAGGTATGTTGGAGGGACTGAGCGGTCCTATTTAACACCACCTGTGCCCCAGTGCAGGTGTGCTGTCTGAGGGGACCCTGCTGTACCTTGTGTCGGGCTTCAGACAGAGCACTGCTGGGTACGGAGAGGTCACAGGAGAGATAGGGGGGAAGGCCACCTACTACAAAGAGAAGCTCTGAATGAGACATTTCCTACCTTGAACACTTTTCCAAAGGCTCCATCTCCCAATTCACCGATGATGTCCCATATTTCCTCTGGATTTTCATCCCTGCGCACGTGTTCATACTGTTTCTTCTTCTTTTCGGTTCCCAATTTAAATATTTTACGGAAATTAAAAAACGACATGCTGAATCCTAGGTCCTTCAATGACAAAGGAATTCCACTTTAAAGAGCCAGAGTAGTGTCGCGTTCCTTGAACACTTTTAGAGACTTTAGCGTAAGTCTTTGGAGTACTATGTGTGTCCCATTAGTTAGAAGTACCTGCTTGGAGAACGCAGTACGTTAGCTTTCACAATAGTTCGGATCTAAACCTAGCCTAGCCTTTGACACCGTTTGGGCCAGTCCAGAGAATAGCTCTTTCTCTTCGGGTCATTGTTAACCCCTAAATGTAGCTAAAGCTCACTGTTAACATCTGATACACGAATGAAGAAGACTTTATGTTTATGCAAAGTAGTAAGTAGCTCGTCGTTGTTCCAACTCCTGACGACCCACTCGCCCGAAAATCCTGTGGGGCTCTTTCTCAACCAAAAGAAAAAAGATCCGGGTCCTCCCAAGTAGTTGTATTCCACTGAATAATTCATCAGTTTCCTTCAGGCTAAACACGGCTACAGTTGGTCCGTACGTTAATATGAGCTAAAACGGTAAAAAAGGAAAAGAAAACAGTCATCGTTCCCTTGGTGTAAAACGGGTTTAGTAATCTAGCGGATTTAGTGTCTGTGCGCGTTCCCGAGTGCGCGCCGCTGCAGTTCTTTCTCTCCGTTCCCCTCGTGTTTGACACTTGGCGGGCTAATGTCAGTCTTCTGCTGCCCTCCTCTGTATGGGAGACCAAACGCAACTGGTGGGGGCGTTTCAACCTTCCACGACTATACTGTAGCGTATTTTCATCAAGAACAATAACCCATGTACTACTTGTTCATTGTAGTGTTACTGCGTCAATCTGCCACCATCTCCCCAATAAACACTTCATTCGGGTTCCTTTGTGTCACTGCAACTACATGTCCCATACACCATTGCGAAAACGACCCCGCCGTACGGACAGTAAAATGCCAATAAGACTCTTTCAAACATATAAGTTAAATATTTTAAGGCTAGTATGTAGCTGAAACATTTCTATCATGTTGCACGTATGTGTTAACGCTTACAGAGCCACTGTAAATAATAAACACGCATTTAACAGAACTCAACAACACGTCACGTGACCAATGTTTTGGGTTCCTCTCAAGACGCTCCGCGGGAGCTAGCTTCTTCGCCGCCAAAGGAGAGGTCAAATATCTGCCTCTGTTTTCACCATGAAATGCAGCCAGCCACTATGGATCCAGCGGAAGAGCCCCCCTCGATGTTGTGGGGACTGGACCCGATCTTTTGTGCCTTCGCCAGGCTGTATGTCAGGGACATCCTGCAGATGACAGAGTCCATACAGGTGCCAGGTAGTAACAGCTAACGCTAGCGTTAAGTGTCAAACATTTCATCTACTGACTGTATCCTTGGGCTTTCCATTTTGAACCTTCACAAGCAACATTAGCTACACGTCGGGATATTTGTGTCTAACAGCAACGTTAAGTAAACTAACCAACCAAGCTATTTACAAACAGTTAACGTTACTCTAAATGCGACGTTAGCAAGTCAGCTAACGTCAACTAATTTCCTACTTTGTAAATTCGTTGACTACTTCATAAGACGTTTTTATTATGTATATGTTTAATGTTTCAATTCATTGACCATTTGACATCCTCCCTGTGTGACTTGTCTCGGTGATTGACTCACACCTGATGTTGACAATGACAGTCATTTTTGCTTTGAGAGTAATATTTCTGTCTACTAGGTATCTACTTCTACAACTTGCATCCAATCTATAAAGTTGATGTACTCGGGACGGTGGTTTACAAGAGAGAAAGAGAAGACTTCTTCTGCTATGGAGGTAATCTCTCTGCGTCCCTGTGTGGAACAAAGTTACCCGACTGTGAATGCTGTCTTTGGGAGTTATTTTGGGACCCACTGTGGCATTGTGCCATGTTCTGGATAAACAGTGAGAAAGTCTCCATCTCTGACAATGCTCCAGTTTCTGTTGACATCTCACCAAGTGACACACACACACTCCTGTTGTATAAAGGCCTAAAACAAGCATGGCTTTCACTTCCCAATCGCAAGCAAAAACACATTTTGAGTATCCTTCCTTTTGTTCTCAGTGGATGATGGTACTGGTGTAATAAACTGCCTCTGCTGGAAGAATAACCTGTTGAAAGAGGAGGTGGATCTTACCAAATGTGAGTTTGCATTTGTATGGATCTCAATGTTAGCAAGATACTCTTCAGCCATATTGATGCCTTCTAGCTGAATGTGTCATGTAAATATATGAACTGTTTATTAGTGCAGCTTGAAAGTGTATCATCATTATTGATTAGTTCAACTATTTTCAAAGGTGCTTCATAAATTCATTATTATACATTAATGTATTTCCACAAACCGTTGTGTGATGTCCGATATTCCTTTGTCATCTCCAGCAGGAGGAAAACACAGTGATGGGGCTCAAGGAGGCTTCAACCCAGTTGCTGAACTGGCTCTGCTGAGGCAGGCCCAGCAGAGCCGCTGCCGTCTGGAGATCGGAGAGCTGCTCCGAGTCAGAGGACCAGTGAAGACGTCGAGGCAACAGAGAGAAATCATGGCCTCCACCTTCTGTGAGTACAGAGTACTGTCCCCTGCAGGCCACAGTGGCAGTTTGATACCAGAACACATCATCCGCTTTCACTTATTTACCTTCCAGCTACACCCACCAGTGTCCCACCAATGTCCCACCAATGTCCCACCAATGTCCCACCAATGTCCCACCAGTGTCCCACCAATGTCCCACCAATGTCCCAGAATACCAGCACTTAATCAGTGGTTCAGTAGAAACTACTTTTCAGAAGAAACTAGTGTTGAAGTGCCCAGCAAGGACATTCTTTATCCTATTACTGCAGTCTTGTTTAGTAATGGCCTACACATTTCTCTCTTCAACACACGCACACACACACACACACTCACACACGCACACAGCACATTCTTTATTTGAGGGTACCCACCATCGATATCATCTGCCCATTCGTCCCGTGTGAATCTGTATCTGTGTGTGTTCTCAGATAAAGTGAACGACCCAGTGATGGCGGTCCAGATAGCGTGGATGATGGAGGTTCCTCAGCTCTACAGACAGTGCTATGACAAACCACTACAGCTGCAACCTAATGCAACGGGGTACGCACATTAATCTCTGAACGTACTATCACAGTGGATTACCACTGTAGCCAGGTTTACATCCAAGTTATTGTACATTTTAACCCAATTTCCAGAAAATTGGCGAAAGAAAACACTAATTAATGCGTTTCCATCCAACACTGAATATTAGTAGTTGGTTCACCAAGATAAACCGTTGGTGGCTGTAATACTCCAGTTGGGTGTAGTTAAATAGTTATAGAAGAAGGCGCAACATGACAATTAAGAAAGTGTTAGTCAAAGTTTCAAACAGTGGAAAACCATGTAAATGGTAAATGGACATGTATTTTTATAGCACCTGTCTAGTCCCCTGACCGCTCAAAGGTCTTTACCCTACGTGTCATCATTCACCCATTCACACACACACACACATTCATACAAGCACATCAGGATCAAAATTGATCACTCTCACACACGCACAGATGGCACAGTAAACATTGTAAACATGAGTTTATGGTCTCAATCTCTAGTTTCAAGTCTTCTTCAATACAACATGAAGATCATTTAGTAAATTATGGTCCATTTAGAGTCAGATAGACCATAAAGCAGAGTATGCTTTAGGGGCGGGGCTACCTTGACAGGTCGCTACCATGGCATTTTCCGGTCTGGGAGTTGTTTGTGTTTTCGTCTTGGAACTTTAACCCTTTCAATATGTGTTTTCACTTCATCAAAGTTAATTGTAACATTTTGGTCCTAAAAATAGCTTATTCAGTGTTTGGTTGTTCTTAGCTTAAAATGAACCAACACTGAACGCAGGCTCTCATCTAGCCATATATACATAGACAGGAAGCTGTCACAGCTGTCATCACTTCTCTGTAAACATACATGTAAGCATGTAGTAGTAGTATGAATTGTATTAAGGCCAGATTCTTTGTCTGTTCAGTGACTCAGCCATCAGTTCCCTCAGCAAGGCAACGAATATCATCAAGGAGTTCTTAAAGCAGAAGTCGGTGACCAGGTTCAGACCCTATGATGTTCAGGACCTCCTCCAGCCTCTCATCTCCAGCCAGCCTCAAACAGCATCAGCAGACCAGGTACGCCCCAATAATAATATCACAATCCTTTCTTCTCTGAAGATGTGTGGTGAAAATCAAACTGCATTTGAAGTGTCCTTCTAACGTGAGAGGGATGAGTGAAGTTAGGAAATACAGCCAGGATTTCATTCCCAGCATAGACGCTCATTTGTATTCTTTCATTTGAGTTGTCGTTCTACATTTTGGTTTTACTATAAAACTAGACAAGAAGACAACACACTGAGGTAGGAGAAAGTGATGAAGATCTAAGACTGAAACAGGAGGCAATAAAAACACTAATAGCACAGTGTCTGCGTCTGATTAATGCCATATCCCATCTCTACGTGTTATTGACTGTAAACCAGCGTTAATGCTCGTGTCATTTCAAATGTAATTCAATGTCCGCTCTGTTGTATTATTGTGCTTCTCTCTTGCTGTGAAGGAGCCTGTGGCGGGTCCATCCGCATGCCAGCAGCTACGCCAGCTCCTGAAGGAGACCCTGCAAATTCTACAGGACGAGGGTGTTGTGTACCGCAAGGTCAAATCCCAGGATGAAGTCTATCAGGTAAGAAACAGCAGAGAAGTCTCCAATACACTCCTCCCACTTCAGTTGCTTATCTTCGTGAAGATTCATGCTGTCGCCCCTCACCAGGTGACTGCACATGACACAGATCTACTCATAGCCGTCAAAGACGTCATCAGGGAGGACTCGCAGAGAGAGAAGTGTAAGTACACTTCCTATGTTTGCTCTTGATTAAAGGGAAAAGTCGCCAGCATGTATGTGGATGTCCAATCAGTGTTGATGGTAAATGTAGTCAATTGAAGCAATAAATTCCTGAGTGTGTTTTATTGACCCTGAAGGCTGAGTTCTCCTGCCCGCAGAAAAACAAACAAAAAAAAACACTCATCCATCTATCCATCTATCCATCTATCTATCTATCTATCTATCTATCTATCTATCCCTATCCCCTTGAGCAGTTATTTCCGTGATGAGCTGAGTTGTAGTTCCAGACCGAGGTGGATCACAGCGTCTGCAGGCTGGGTTAGCTCCAGCAGCTGGCTCTCTTTGCAGGTCGACGTCCACATGCCGCTGAATGTGGTTAGGCTTTGTTCTGGTCAAGTGGTTAAATGCCAATTTGTTGTGACACAGCCCACGTAGAGCCTTCTATACATCTTCTAGCTAATCAAAAATTCTGCCAAACTGCGCTTGTTTGACAAGGTGCCATCTAGTCCCACTCTCCTCCTCGCTGAATGCGAGGCAAACAGCCCAATATGTGTTGTTTTAGTCTTTTCACAGCGGACGCTCGTTGTTATGAGCCAACGTTTGACGAGGATGTAACAATTTCAGTGCAAATAATGTCAATATGTTATGTGTGTGTGGCTACATTAATGAAATAATAATCATGTCTCGACTAGTATTTGTGGTGCAGACTATTGATGGTGGACGAGTTGAATCCACTAGTCCGGCTTTCTGGGTCTATACAGCAGCACTGGAGTCTACATTTACCATCAACACTGGTTGGACGTCCAGGACAAAGGCAGCAGATTTTCCCTTAAAGTCTCAAGCTGTTGATCAACGTTGACCTTCCGTATTTTTAGTTTGACTCGATGACAATCTCCTTTGTGGCAGTGTGTTGAGTAGAGCGGTGATTATCATTCAGTTGAAGCTGTTTATCTGCTTTTCAGATTTGTACAATCACACCTACTGCATGTCAAAAATGTCTTGCCATTCTGTGAGATTTTTGTAAGAAATATATCCAATAAATATGCTGAATAACTTGGAAACCTATTGAAAAACTAAACTCTAAGTGTGGTGAAGCCTTGCTTTCCATGGCCACATCCCTGCGTGCTGACCGTTGCTTCCTGCTGTGCCCGTAGATGCAGAGAAGGGTTGCCACATCCTGCACATCCTGTCTGCAGTCAGGCAGCGCCACAGCCTCAACGTGAGCAAAGCCACGCTGGAGCTGGTCCTCAAATCCCTGGAGTGCAACAGCGACATCATCAGCACCAGCGACGACCATTACACTGCGTTTTAGCTGGAGCACAGTATTACTGTAGTATTACTGGGTAGATTAGTATTGGTAATACTGTAGTATTACTGTAGATACTATATGCACTATGGCTTATTGCTCCAAAATGTGAGTGTCCAATAGGTTGGAAGTAAATCATGTCTTTTTTTATTCCTCTGTTCATCTATTGTGAATTTGAAATTATAACTGCATAATGACAGACATCAGGGAAGCTTTCAGGACCACTGTGCACTTCACTGTTATGATAGAAGACATGTTTAAATTAATAGGAAATGCATAACAGACCCGGGCTCATGCATGGCTTCATTAACCTGCTGAAGAGGCCTCTGGGGGGAAATGAAGGCCTCTACACACAGGTGGTGTTTCTTTTATGCTATTCATTTGCAAGTCAATATGTTTTTTTGAACTGTTGTTTTTAACACAAATACTTTTATGCAGTGAGAATATTAAAAACATTCATACAAGAAATGTTGATGACTTAATGCAAACACGCCAATGACATATCTTACCATACCAACACAGGACGTATTAAAAGTCTCTCCACATCCAACAGCCGACTCATGGCCCAGCAACGAAACCGATTCGTCATCTGTTGAGTAACTCATCCTTGTAAACGTTGTACATGCAATCCAAAAGTTAGTTTGGAATAATGGCTGAAGTGCCCTTAAAATCATAATGGTCTCTTAGTCTGGAGTCTCAAATATGCATCTAAAAAGGCCAGGAGTTTACCCAGCCGGAAGACTCGCCAAGTCCACGCAAGACAATGATGCACTTTCTACAGGTTATAATTCTGCCGGTGGTATTGTTCAATGCCACGTCTGTACGCACCGTCAAGATGAGAGGATATGTTCGTTGTTCCCAGTTATAACTTGATGGCATTATCTACATGTGATGCACAACTCTGGTGTTTTACCAGCTGTTCTGACAGATGTTTCAAGTCTTTAAATCCACTTGCTGTCCAGACAGTTTCCTCTCTGAAAAGAAGACATGGAAAGAAGAACTGGGATTTATATATATATATATATATATATATATATATATACTAGCAGTTAACCAAGTTTTCCTTTTGAACCACTGGTTGAATATATATTTTAAATATTTTCCTTTCTTGAGATATGGTTAAGTTGATGTTGTCCCAAACATTTTATTTCCAGTTTTGTCTCCAGGGGTAAAATGCTAATTCGTACTGTTGTTAAATAATCCACACGAGTCATCTCTGCTGCTGTAACGTTAACGTAAGTACAACATCAATCCCTCTTTAGATAGCTAGAATTTTGAACCTGGCTTTATCCAACATTCAGATTAAATAAAATAATTTGCATATTTAAACATACATATTCTGAAACTTCATGTAGTAATCTGGGGAGGTTTCATGGTGGAGTCTACTACCTTATTCACCTGTAGTGTGCCATCTTAAAAGGTGACTGGTTGTTTTTAGTACTGCTCTGACAACATGATAAGGGTCTCAATGCAGCTTAGCTGTGTCATTTCATCAAGTAAATAAAACAGCCACCAGGAAGAAGTGCAGCCTCTAATCAGGCCCTTTCAGGCGCTCTCGTTCTGGTGCACAGGGGGGCAGTGTTCGGTCGTTAATTGGCTCTCTCATGTAGAGCAGGCGGCTGCTGATTGGTCAGCTTTAAAACATCTGTATCCATATCTCCAGCCGCTCGTGTCTCCGGCCAGAAAGCTGCTCGTGACTCAGAGCCTGGAGGAGAGCTGGCCCTTTAAAGTAATAATACACAGCTTGTGTTTCAGTCAGGCCCGCATACATGTAACCGTATTTCATGGTCTCATTATAAGCGGGGAGGAAAAGTTGCGGGGCCCTGAGGGGGATGAGTGACATGACACTGATACACCGTCCCTCGGCTGCTTACAGACGCTCATTTCTCGTAGAGGGAGGCACAGACTAATGGTTTTTTTTCTCTCACGAGTGCTTTATTCAAGTAGCCCCGAGGACGTGCGCGCGAAGCCCATCCCACTCCGTTCCCCCAAAATTCACTGCGCCTGCTGAAACGCTGGGCTTCGCCGGCTCCCCTCGCGCTCAGACAGCCCTCCTGTACGCTCCAGGTATGCGGCTGTCCCTTCTGTAGGCACCGCGGCAGACACAAAGGAAAGTCGCTTCACTTAGTTTTTTTCTGTTTTAAGGTGACCGCCGTCCTTCCGCGCGCCGCCCGCCGTGAACATCGCTCCCTGCTCGGATATTCAGCTGTGTGGATTCCACCGGGACGCTTCAGTTGAGCAGTTTCTAATCATATTGACGGTGCGAAGGAAGCGCGAGCTGATATCTCAACGACCGCCGGATAGTTGGCACGAGACAGCAATGAATGTTGGGATCTCTCTCCCGTGATACGAGGTAGCTTATCCGGAGCCGCAGCAGCCGCCTGTCTGTCGCTTCTATGCATAGCCTTTGCAGGGTCAAGATGCAGTTCCGGACGGTGCTGGACGTGAAAGTCGTGGACGTGGAGAAGAGGCGCAATCCGTCTAAACACTACGTGAGTTGCCCGCCTCATCCTCACCCATGTCCCATTATTCCCCCCACCGTGTCCCATTCAGACGGGTCTCTGTGGCCTGCTCCCCGGTCTCAGCGTGGCACCGCACACGGCTGCGTTTAGTCCACTCCATGGACCTAGCTGCTATGTGAGGAACCACGCTAAGCTAAGGTGTTGTTCAGCAGGATACCTGCTTATAAATAGTTACTAGCTGACACAGTTCATCATCACAGGTGAGCTGTCATGACTGGGAAGCTACTGACACACAGGTGACTCAACATCAAGTTATAACCTGGTAATGAATGTTCAACACTCCAGACAGACCTGTGATGTTGGGGGTCAATATTCAGTATGTGGCACTTATGTATGAGCAAAGTATCTAACCTGTATTATTCATGGAGCTGTAAGGTGGAAACAAAACTTCCACAGCTAGATCCACACAGAGTTTCAGCCTCACAGGGATTCTTTGAATCCCAGCGGAATGTTTCATTTATTAAGAAGAAGAATTATTGTATATTCTAACATGTTATGGGTTCAGATAACAACAATCAATCCAGGTCTATTCTATCATCTTCATCAGTTCAGTGATGATCACTGCTACCTGTCCGTGCTTGACAACATGTGTGAAAGTGGACAGTTTTCACTGTCTAAAGCCCCGGCACATGAAGCATGAAGCCCCGGAATGATCTGGTACCAGTTGACACAAATATTCTCACCACGAGTTCCATTTAGTTGTTCTGGAGCTTTTTCATCATATCACATGATCTTCATCAGCAGATGGAGTTGTACACGTTAAAATGTTGTCCACGTTTACTTAAAAATGTAGATTGTAAGTTTGTTCTTGGCCTTGGAAGCAGCAGTTGACAGAAGTATCTCACCACGACGGTCATTTATAGTCGCCGTTGTGGAGCTTTGACAGGCCTCAAACTCCATCTGATAACCCTTTTCTGATAACGTACTTTCTTTTACTTTAAAGCTTGTGTCATCAATCATTTTGTCATGTATGTCACTTGGTAGTCTCCACATTTTCTGACAGGCTTCAGTGATTATTATTACCTTGCTGATCCTTCCCTCCTGTGGCCCTCTTCATCAATACTACGCTTGTTATGAGTGTGAGTCTTGTGTTGGAGCTCTGCACTCCTTGGCCCCACTTCAGGTCCTATTTTGAGCTCATAAACAAGTCATAATAAATGACTTGCTTGTAAGCAATTACAGTCCTGCAGACCCCTTGGGCCCAACGATATGTGGACACAATTAGAACACTCATTGTCCTTTGGAAGGAGGAATTCGCAGGGCTCCATCAGACCTGCTGACTTTTAGACAGAATGATCCAAACAGCACAGTGGATGAGACCACCTAAACACAGTTGACATTTTAACATGGGGGTGCCCCCAGTGAAAGTGATACCTGAAACTCTGACACTGTTGAAAACTGACTATACGGAGCCCCGGGGCAGGAATGAGGCCCCCCCCCTCCGGGTATTGTGCATGTAAGCTGTTGCCTTCAAGTACCCATCAAAAACAGAGCACGCAGCAGACTCCACATGGCAGCTTAATTACAGTTTGCCTGGAGCTGTTAAACCCACCAGTTCTCCCGTACTGGAGTACTTCCCCCTGCCCCCAGGTTTGCTGTGTGACAGTTACGTTGTGTATATTTGATTACACACTAACTTCTCTACAGCCCTTGTAAGAAATAACCACAGCCTTTAAAGTGGATGTCCACGTGGCTTCACGATTAGGTAACGATGTCAACGAGTGCCTCAAGGCACTTGAGTTAAAATTGGGTCTTTTATTCCTAAACAAATCTGTGTGTTCAAATGAGAACAGAGAGCCGTCTGATTGGCTTTGGCCCCGTGGAACGTGTCCACACCGCCTGGTTGGTGACTCAACCTGGTAGAGGACCTAACATTAGGAGTTAAACGGTAACTGTGGTAGTAGTCAACCTATTTCCCCACGTGTTTGTGTCTAACTGACTAGCTGCTTCTCCCGGCCTCCAGTGTATGATAGTTAGCATACAAACTTAAGCTAAGCCAATGGCTTCCTGCCTCTAGCTCCATACCTAAAGGTGCTCAATACACAATTCAGAGCATTTCTGCTGCCTCCACACAGCTCTCTCTCAACATGGAGCCTTCTGAGCCGGTGGCTAGCAGCTAACAGCGCTAGTAGCGCTAATAGGGAAAACAACAGCAACGTTAACATGCACTTACATGCACTAACATGCACTTAAAAGCACTCACATGCACTTAAAAGCACTCACATGCACTAACATAACATGCACTCACATGCACTAACATGCACTTAATAGCACTCACATGCACTAACATACTCTAACATAACATGCACTCACATGCACCAACATGCACTAGCATGTACTAACATGCACTAACATAAGATGCACTCACATGGACCAACATGCATTCACATGTACTAACATAACATGCACTCACATGCACTAACATAAGATGCACTAATGTGAACAAAGAGAGGAGAAGCTGTGATAACACACACAGAGAGAGAGAGACTTTATTCTCTGCTCTGGTAGACATTAGTCCTCTAGATCCATACATAGATATTAATGCTCTGAGTCGTAGGAGATATAGTAACACATGAAGAATGGTGTCAATGTTCTCACTCTCTATTCCTTAAAACACACACATTGAAAACAATAATAATTGTGCTTCTCATGTTAATGTGAGTATCTTCAGTGCTAAGAGACAATGAATGAATGCTCTGCTGTTGAGGATATCTACAGGGCTATGTATTTAATGCAACCTGGACTCTTAATGCACAGCTGCTGCTTCCACAGACTGGTTCAGTAATCAGTCCATCTGTATCATGGGCTTGTGGAGTGGTATCCAGGCTGAGAACAGTTGAAGTGTAACAGGAGCTTCTCAGAGCTGAGCTGAGCTCTGTTTTGGGCTCCTCAGTCTCAGGGGGTCAGTCCGTGGCCTAGTTTCCCTGGCTACCCTGTCTCAGGAGCCAAGGCTCGTCGCTGTGGGAAGAAAAAAAGAGGGAAAGGGGGAAAGGGGGAGGGAGAGGAAACGAGAGAAGACCCAATCTGTGGCACCCGCTAAATGTTTGTAATGTTTGGTAAACCAGCTGGACGTGCTTATCTCGGGAGAGGAGGGGCTTTGTCAAAGGGGAGTGCTCTTCAGGCGGGGGGGGGGGTCTGCCTGCATCACAGACACACACAATCTCCTCCTGCGATCGGTACGTGTTTGCAGGGGCAGGTGATGCCAGAGAGAGCACGGCCATGTTTACTTTAAGCTCCTGTTTCCCCTACAAGTCCCAGTGCCGTAACATTTCATTTTCTAGAGACCGGAGGACTCTGTTGTTATTGGGCACAGTAAAACGTGTCTTCAGAGAGCTGTTCTCCACTCAAATATGTATTTGGCCCATCAAACAAAGAGCGAAAGGGTCCCCGGTCTCAGATGCTCACCTCTAACTGGGAGGCTGATGTGTGCAGAGGTTTACGAGGCCTAGCGACTGTTTGGGAGAGACGACTAGCTGGAAGTGTGTGAGGGAGAGGAGAGAGAAGGGGGGAGTCAGGTCCATGCTCTCAATGCTCAGTTTGCAGAGCAATAACTCTGACCCTCATACCGACTGGGTGTGTATCCGTGTTCCATGCCGGGGGTTGTTTTCATGGGTTCAGTACCAGATGTTGTTTGTGATTGTGGGACGTTTTATTAGTCTCCTGCAGAAGTCTGAAAGCGTGCAAGTAGCTTTATTCCGATTAGCACTCTCTCCTCAACAGCTCCACTTGTGATTACATCGTGCAGAAATGGCAATGCTCTGCGGAGAGACGGAGGATGTGCGGCCATCACCGGAGAGCTCCGGCTCTGGTTTCGTTTTTTTTTTAACGTCACTGGATGAGTTATTGTGTGACCAATGAAGGAGAGAGAGAGACAGAGGAGGAAGAGGAGAGATTAGGATGATAAGATATTCTCTCTCTCCACCAAAGCACAAAAGGATGATGTATTAGAAATTTGTGATCCTGGTTTATAATATCTCCACCAGAAAGTACCGCAAAAGTTAAATCATAGTATAATATCTACACCCATACTTCAACTGAAAGGGGGACTCCAAGTATTGCTCTTACACTGGAGACGGATTTGAAAAAAAAAAAATGGTCGAAGTTTGTGTAACACTGATGACATCACTATGGCATCAGCACGAGGAGTAGTGACCATAGAGTTCTACAGGCAGGAGTCAGCTTTGTTGCACTACTGGTTCCCTTGAGGCGTGGAACCAGACATGGAAGATGTCACGACCTGGCTCTGAAGCCCTGACACTGGTAAGGGAGACGCAGACAGTTGGCCAAAAGTAAAGAGTTTATTAGACATGACAAGACGTCTAACTCGCAATGGTGGTGGCGAACGAGCCGTCCTCGTTCCTCCACGGGGTGATAGGAGAGCGCCGACAGGTTGCCAGGAAGGCGGAGCTTTATAGTGGGAGCACACCGGGCCCAGGTGCCTTCACTTAGGGCAATCACCACCTCTGGTACCTGCTGGCTTAAAGGAACATAAACAAGTAACCAAGATAGGGAACCGTCACAGAAGACTTGCAGTTTGAATGCAGACCTGCTGCGAGGACTTGAGACTGAGACCTCCACTGACCGATTGACACTTGAATCTGACTTGTCCCACATTTCCTGAGACTCAACCTCTATAAGCACATTGAGTGTTTGGACTTAAATATTGCTTTCCTAACTGTGTAAAACAAAATGTAACAAATGAACACATAGATATACATTTACTGAATCGCTATTTATTATTAAGATAACAAATCATCAACTTGGTGAAAGAATCTTTAAATAAACAGGAATCAGGATTCAAGTGAAAACCATTGGTCAAAACTTCAGGAATTGAAATAGCAGTAAATTATGGACAGAGATAGAATTGAATGGAATAGATGCTATCTGATATTATTATCAGTTATAATTGTAATGCATGGCTGCCTCATCTTAGCTGATGAGTCCACTAAGATCTCTTTAGTCCTCTCACC